ATGTTGCATTTTAATCGCTCAGCGTGTTACCAGTTTGACAGATTTTTGCCCCCTGTTTCCTTTTTAACTTGCAAGTTTCTCAGGAATCTTTACTATTTCTAATGGCCTGCTCTAACTAAAAAAACATTTTGCCTCCCTCGTCTCTTGATTTATATTTTTTTCATAACTAGTTCTTCTTAAAATGCTTTCTACATATCCTTTGTTGCTTAATGGGTATATTGCCAAGGATAAATGCAGCATGCCAACTTACAGTCTTTGGCAGTGGTGATGTTGCAGATGCAAAGTCTGTGCAAATTGACTAATTGTGAATCTCAAAAATCAGATTTGTGCATGTGTTAGAAAAGAAGGGGTTTGAAGAAAAAGGTCAAAATTTTCTCACTGGATTGTCTAAAGCTGTGCTGCTCAACCTACGCATGGGGTTTGAACTTGCTTTCTTGTCCCATGATATAAATCCATAGTTGATTCTGCTGATGCTAGATGGCATTACTTCCATGTTGGCACAAATCAGAGGAAAGGCTCTTGTTTTCATTCCCGGAGGAAGTGATTTGGTTTTCCAGTCTCTGAAGCTACCAACATCTGCCATTTGGGGATGCCTCTGAGAGCTGTTAGCTGTTGTAAGCTCTTACTTTGCTTTTTCTGCAGTGTGTTTTGCTTACTCTGTCTATGATAGGAAGCAATCAGTAATTTCTTATTGTGAGGAACTGGGAATTTAGGAATAATATAACTGGGCCTAAGATCTGGAAAGCATTTATAGGGCACTTTTTAATCCCCCCTGCATGTTCTTAAGCTTAGACACCTTCTTAAGACGTGCTAATGAATCTTGCTTACTCAGCCAGCATCCTTACTAGCTGATGCAAAGCCATAGCAAACCTACTGCCATCCTGTCAGAACTGAGAATGGGCAAAGTAGAAAACCCAATGGAAAATAAAATACCAGTGGTCAGGTCAGTCCTGAACCTGAATCAAGCTTACTTCTCCTGTGACCTGGAAAACATGTGGCAGTTTTTCTGTAGGCTGTTTGGGGAAGAGGATGTCTCCAAGAGGCAACCTCGTGTGGGAGCACAGTTATCGATTAAAACACACATTGCCCAGCTGGAGATTGATAAAAGCCCTTTCTGAGAGCCCTTCAGGAGCTGTATGATATCAAATATATTTGCACTGGGTTACATTTTCTTAACCTTGTTTTATCCTTGTGCTTGTTCATATGTCAACATATGAATAATCTGTATGTGTCTATTGGATTTGAGGCAGAAGGACCTCTGATACTATAAAATTTTGAATTTAACTGCATGGTGACTGATACAGAATGTGTTTTGTTCTGTCACACTCCAGTATGAGGGCTATACATGCATAGAAGTAGTTGCAACAGGCCCTGAAACGGCAGCCTAGAAGAAGTTTCTATTCATTTGTTGATCTCTTGTTCCATTGCTGTTTGCATAGCAGATCTTCTTTGTCATCATGACCACTTCTAAAATGCAGCTTGTGATTGTATGGCTGCATGCCTGGAGAGTCACGAGAAACTGGTGCTGCAGTGGCAAAACATCTCTCTTGGTTTTCCTGCAGTAGATCTTTGCTAAGGGGATGGCAGATGGGAGAGGGTGCTCGAGAGAAGTCCATACCTGAGGCAGTAGCCTTCATTTCTTTCTGCAAATGGCAGATACGTGCTGCATGTAGTTTGCTTTATTGGTGGAGTCTGTTCTGCAATTGATGATCACTCCCTGTTTGTGTGACCTGGAACTGTTGGTTTTGTACAGCTAACAAAAATGAGGCTAGTTATCCCAGTTTATCCTTCTCTTGCACTGCTATATTTCTTACTCATTCAAATTACTTAGTAGTGCTGGCTTCATTTGCGGGTAAAACAGCTTTTCTCTTGGAAATTAAAATTAAACTTCTGTTAGAGAATTTCCTTGGTAGCAGGACCTGAAGTGCATTTCAGTATCATGAGAGTACCTGTTTTTTCTTTCTAGGTCTGCATATAGCTAAAGTGCAGCTGCCTAATGTTCATGCACAGGGTTACAGTCTAGTGTGCAGAAGATAACCTCCTTGAGTTACTGCTTTGATCACTGGACCTGTGGTGAAGCAGAGACTTAAGAGCTGGGTTTATTTGCCACTGCAAAGGCATGTAGTGTTCTTGGACTTGAATGTCTGATGTGGATTCAGAAAAACTTACTTTAGCACACTTGCATTTTTTAAGTTTGGTGTGCTAAAGGGAAGAAAGCTAACTCATAGAGAAGATACTCCAGCAGAACTGTGGATTGCACTGGGCCTTCACTAACTTTTCCTTTGCTCCTAGTTGAACGTGCATTTCCCACCGCTTAAAGCAACTACTGTTCCTTTATCTTTTATTCCTACAGGTTAGTACAAGATGCAATGCAAAACAGAACCCAGGGAAATGAACTGTTAGGCCTCAAAATAGAATGAGGCATCTGATTTTTGTTACTTTTGGTATCTCCTTTCCCATTCATCCTGACACCTTCTTGTTTTTGTTGAACTTCTTAGCCTCACTCCAAGGAATAAAGCTCCTTTTAATCATGCCCTAAGAGATGCAGTGTCTATCTGTAACAGCATTGACGGAACCGCACCAACAATGAAGGAAACAAGAAAGGAGATCTCATGAGACAAGTAACAAAATAAGACTTAAGAACCACTGACAGTCTAAAGCTTTGTATCAAACCAGTTGAGCCCAGGGGGCAGGAAGGAAAACTAACATGTAGGGAGAAGAACACCATGTTTGTTCTTGTAATTTCTGTGTGTTTAAAAAGTGTGGCTGAGCTCAGTAGGCACCTTTCTAGTACCTGACCAAGAGGCAGTTCCACTGTGTTAAATGGCAAATCTGCAGTACTGAAAAAGGAGGAAACTGGAGAGGTAAGGTTGAAGGAGGGAGACTTTAAGGAGTAAGACACCTGGAAACGGGATCATAAAAGGGTTGATTACTGTATATAGGGCTTTGAAGATACTGGTTGATAGAAGTGCCTTGAGAAGAGCTGGGCATTGGCAGACAGGCCTTCTGCAAGAGTCTGCTTTGAAAGGAGTATCTTGGGCCTGAATCTCTAAAATGTGAATTCATTCACAGTGTACATATGTGTCACTCCATAGCTTACAAACTTCACATCTCCTAGTAGGAGCCAAACCCAGTCTGAAACTGCCCAACCCTGAGACAATCCATAATTTCTCCCACAGTTGTCCTGTGCCTTGCCATCTGGATTAATTGATTTAAAATGCTGTTTAAGTCAGCTGTGCTCTGGGTGGATACCTGTCATCTTACCGCTTCCCTCCTGGGAAAAGGAATTGAGCATATGTTCCCTGTTGTCTTGTCTCCAAGTTCCTCTCGTGTGTTGTGTTGTATTTTCCCTACACGCTGTAATCAATTCCATCCTTACCACCCTTTTTTGTAGCATCAACTCCTCTTTTTGTTGCTAGTCCCCTGCTCCCAGCCTCTTCATTTATCCAAGGAGAAAGCCCCTCTGTGCAGCTGCAAAGCCAAGGATGATAACTGAAGCTGGGGTACATTTTATTTGGCAAAACTGACCTTTAAACCAGTATTTCTTATAGAGGTGGGAAAGTTTTGAGTACATTCAAGGCTGCTGTTCCCATCAGGTTTTTCCTTTCAGTTGATCTTCTTCAGGCCTTTAATGGTGTAACAGCTGCCTCGGGTTGCTTTTTAGGTTTCCTTGCCCTCCTGGTTGCTTTAATGTGTTGGCTTGTGAAATTTTTCACAAGGGAGTAGAATTTGTCCTGCTTTGAATAAGTAGTTCCAAAGGCACTAGACTATTTTATTATTTATATAGGGCAATAAAAAAGATCGATATTATTACCGTGGATGTAACAATGCAAGTTAAGCTTTTCTTCAGCTTTCTCAGTGTGGTAAGTCTTTATACATATACTAGCAATATTCTAGAGCCTGTGATTTTGTGCAGTTATGAGCACGTTTTCTTTAGATAATAAATAACACCAGCCTTTGAACTCGAAACATGAAACATAGATGTGAAAATTTTGTAAAGCTATATCTGTGGCAGTGCCACATTTCATTCTAATGTTAGATTATAAATGCAGTCATTCCAACAAGTTGAAATGGTCAGATCTGTCAGGGTGGAGCAAATTTTATCAGTGCTTTTCTACCGAAGGTGATTACTTCTAGCAAATCCTGAAAATGTTCTTTATCATCTTGTTCTGTGAGGAAACCCTTGTGAAAGCTAAATAAGCTCATTACTGAAAACCTGGTTAGTATGACTGTGAAATCACTCATCCACCAGATTAATAATTGAGATTAACTTTTTGCCCCGGCTATCTAAATTTCTTTCTGTGAAGGATAATGGGAACCACAGGAGTTGTCCTGCTGAGAATGACATGTCTGATTTAAAACCTGATATTTGAAATAATTAATTGGTAACTAGACAGCTGTTTAACCCAAGGGCAAGTTCTGATGTCTGGCACTGTAGTGTCTCAGTGATTTCTGGTTTCACTTAAGCTTTTAAGGGCTGCAAGTATTCCATTCTTGAGCAAACAAATAGGTGTTGTATACCTAGCTCTAGCATCTTGAGCTTTTGATGATCTCTTTCATTTATTCTCATTATACAAAGACTAACAGAGACCTCCTCAGCATAGGAAGGTGAGAGGAAAGATTGCAGGGTGGGGTTTTTTGTTGTTTGTTTGTTTTGTTGTTTTTTATTTGATTTTTCAGTGTGTCATGTTAAGCTTTTGTACTTTATCTAGGAGTGAAAGAATTGCATGCAATTTTACAGTGGCTCCTTAGGGAGAGCAACACACAGTGGGTGAGGATGTCCTCAGCTGTCTTAGATGACTCTGGCCAGCTGGTGAATAGCTGCCCTCTAATATCTCCGATAGTGTTATTTGCACACAAAATTGTGCACATGCTCTTCTGAGAGTGAGACACTGGATTGAGCCACTGAAATGAGCACTTGATTAATGTTGTCTTTCTTGTATTATTTTTTTTTTGCCTTTTTCTGTTGCCTGCCTTCCTCTTTTTCCCGCTTAACCCAGAAAAACTGATTGAGGGACTCAAATCTCCTGAGACTGCGCTTCTGCTCCCTGATATCCTGCCTCTCGCTGACCCCTTCGGTAGCACATCAGACGCTGTGAATGGTAAAGATACACTCAGGGTGCCCCCTCCCCTCCCTCATACACCGCATGTCTCTTCCCGCATGGTAACTCTGCATGTTTACCCCCACTGGGCTCTCAAAACAGCCGCTGATGTTGGTGAAATGCGGAGGAGTAGGAAGGTATGGATTATGCTGAGGCAGATCTGCCCTTTCTCCATGAGACTAGCATCGGAACAGCGAAGACTTGGTATTTGCATTTAAAATCTAGGCTTGCTGATTTGGCGTAATAACCTGGCATGGTTGTGCCTTGTGTATTCTTCTGGTCTTGGTAGAAGAAAGTTAATTGTTGACTGAAGGAGAAGGTGCAAAAAAAAATCCCTCCATTTCTGCTAAAGACTTTGTGTGTAACCATGGCCCAGGCACTGAGCCTGTCTGACTCTATCGCCCCGCAGCAGAATGAGGGGGACAGTGCTGCCTTTGACCCGGGGCATATGCTGAGAATAAATGTGCTAGGCTGCCACGAGCCCAGATGCAACAGGCTCCAGGCAGTATAAAAATTTCGGAGTGTTGCAGAATCATATTTTGATCTATTTGCCAAATGTACAAAAGACTAATAATTGCAGGCTGCAGTTAGTTGCAATCAGATGCTTTTGTGGGTTTGGGTCCCAGCCAGGGCCCCCTGGCTAGCTGGTTGCAACTGTGTAGCTTTGAATAGAAAGTTAGGAAATGAGTCACCTTAATAGTAAGACTTGTTCTTGCTTTTGCAATTTCTGGCAGTTGTCTGAATGCTCTTACATAATGATCCTGCAAATCAGACACACGCACTGCTCTGCAAACAAAAATATTCATTAATCTGACCAATTACACCATTTCGGGTCCTAGCACTTGAGTGCATCCTTGTTCTCTAATTTAACTTATTGGTCACTACCTTGATGTTGGTCCTTGAGGAAGACACACAGACAAGCATTACACCTGGCTGGTACAGCTGTCTCTCCCTCTTATTTTTATGTTTTCTATAAAAAAAAAAAAATCTATCCAGCCTTTGTAACATCTCCTTTTGTGTGCACATAAAGGACATCAGCATTAGATGATACTGGGGGCTGGTGTTTTCAATAAGATGTTGAGTTCCAAAACTTCCATGTCTCTGTAGGGTCTGCAATCTTTGGTCCACTTGGCACTCAAAGTGACAAAAAAAAATCCCGTGTCTTGGGTTTTTACAGATTTAACTGGGAATATGCTAAGGGCTTCACAATAGGTGTTTCAATGATCTGTTGCTTCTAATGCAAGGGGACTCCTTAAAGGTCAGTGTTTTTCTTTTGCTGGAAACGGATCTTGCAAAAGCTTGTAGATATTCACCCAGGCTTTCTGCTTAGCTGCAGGGCAGGCATTATTAACCTCCCATTCCACCCTCTGGATATTTCAAATTGGCCTTGCACAAATCAAAAAAAAATTTAAAAATCCCCCAAAACAAACCCTCAAACCCAACAAATGCTAATGTGTTACAGTCTTCCCTTCTGATTAAATTAATATTGGTCTAATTTCATTCTCCTATTGCTGCCAGTGTAGCTGACACGTATTAAAGGGTCACTGAAGGATTCAGACAACTGCTGCCTTAGTTCCTATTTATGCTGTGTCTTGCAAACTAACCTCTGGCTTCTTCTCTGCTCTGGTATTTTGCACATTTGGAAAGGAAAACCTGATGTAGCTGTTGAGAGTCTCATACCGGGCCTCGAGGCTCCGCTGCCCCAGCGCCTTGTGTCCCAGACCGAGTCGGTTGCCTCCAACAGAACAGGTTGGTGAGGCAGGAGGGTGCTGGGGGGGATTGTACCCGTGTGGGCTGTGGAAATCGGAGAGCACTGCTTGCTTGAGCATAAGCATCTCTGCTGCCTTTCCCACCAGTGCAGACCGGGCTTGCTTGTGTGCCTTGTCAGTGGTTGCTGCATGTCTCCTCGTGAAGAACACTGCTGTATTCCTTCAGCCCAGCGTTACAGATCTGTAGGTGTCAGAGTATTGCTCTGAGGAAGTGCTTTTGAAATCTGGAGCAGTCACTGATTTTTTTTTTTTTTTTTTTTTTTTTTTTTTCCTGTCTGTTCTGTTGGGGCGTGGTAATAAGCGATTCATGTCCCTTCCTTACTGTGGAGGCTTTGATCTGGCCGCTTGTGCTGCAGATGGACTCGACATCTTTTCAGAGCTCTCTTGTGAAATAGCCAGTGCACTGAGTTTTGCCAGAGAGTCCTTGCAGCTTTCTTTCCTTCTTCATGCTCCCTTTTACTCCCCCTACTTTAAGCTGTCACTTGTGTGGAATTTCATTGTTAAATACTCAGCTTTAGAGGGCATTTAGCCCTGGAGGATGTGTTATATGTTGTTCAAGGAGATGGGAATCCCTCTGCTGTCAGTGCAGAGCAGTAAGAAATGTTTTCCATCACAAAAAATGGTAGCTTTTGTGCTGGCTTTGCATCAAATCTCTGTACACTAAGCGGGCGGGAACAGGAATGTGAAAATATGAGCTTAACAGTGTTTGTGTCCTGTTTAATGCTACCTTGCGGCCTTGGGATGTAACCTGGATTCAGACTCTCTCACTGGGGAAGACTCTCTGCTTGACTGTTCTCTGCTTTCTAACCCTGCTGCTGACCTCTTGGATGAGTTTGCTCCTGTAGCTTTTGCAGCTCAGCCTCACAAAGGTAAACTGTCCCTTTGTCTCTAACACTTTCTTAGGCCTTGGACATGGTCTTTAGCTTTTGTGAAGTGAAGCCGTTACTGTTTACACAAGCAGCTGCTCTGACCTGTGTTCTGGTGGTGGTTTTTGTTTTTATCCCAAGCCATTGTTTTGTTTTCTTCCCAAGCTGGTGAAACCTGGAAGGTACATTGAAGTACAAAGAGAAGAATATAGATACAAGGGTTCAGCTTCACTGTAAAGACAAGATTTGTCAAGACAGGTGACGTCTTCCATGAAACAGGGATAGAGCAGAAGGGATACAGTAGGCTTAAAGGGTAGGCTTTTTTATGCAACCCTTCTTGAGGTTTCTAAGTGAATGCACTCTGGTTTTGCTTTTTGCACATGGGATTTAAGACCTGCTTTTATGCTGCATTATTAATTCTGGAAAGGAGCCTGAAAATCATCTATACTGGTGTTACAGGTTTTTGAAATTAAAGGAATTTTTTTTTGTTGTTAGAATTAGTGTCAGAGGCATGTGAGTGAGCTCTTTTAGATCTAGAGAATGTTTTCCTGTTTGGAGGTTATCATGAGAAGGATCTTGAGACAAACTGCAGTGTCACAGCAAATATGAATGAAAGTCTAAGTGCAATATCCAGCTGAAAAATGGAGCTGTTTCATAGTAACACAAAAAAAAGCAGAGCTGAAGAAGAGAAGCAGACCATGTGTGGTCCTAGGAGCTGCAGATCAGCCCTTGCAGTACACCAGTGTTTGAACCTGAGAGAAATTGTGGAAATACTGTACAGTGATCAGAATTCTGTTCTTTCCACTAACAAGGAAGAGTAGTGGACCCTGGGAAGCCGGCTCCTAACTCAGATGGCTTTTTTTTCCCTCAAGCTGCAGAGCATTGAGCTGAAGTCTGGGCGCTCCCCATGCAGTGTGGCTGGAGCAGTGGCACTGGAGTAGTTTGAAGAGCTGGCGTGTGACTTGCACAATGAACATTTTCTGCTCTGTTCTGGCACATCCCTGCTATGGGCTAAAGCAGGTGTGAGCAGTGCATGTGCCCCTTGGGGACAGTGCCAGGTGTTTGCGGATGACGCTCACATAACCCAAGGTTGTAGTGAATATTGGGTTGTACACATCCACTCGGGTTTGAGGGAAGACCAGGACTTCTGTGCTATTTATTGCCTTGAAAAGAGAGGCCCAGAGCAGAAATGCTAACTACCGGGTGCCCCTTGATGATGAATTTTGCTTAGCTCGTTTGGTAAGTATCCCTATAGCAACCGAAAATGATCTGTCCTCAGAGGAGTCACTGTAGAAACAGTCTGTAATCAATTTTTACACTTGATGGCACTTCAGAACGAGTTTGTGTTTTTCATAGAGCTTTTGGGTTTAAACAAGCAGTTGTTCTAATTGCTCATTGCTATAATACGCTTCCATGCCACTTTATTTTGAGTAAATGGCTTGAAATGTATGTCGAGCAGTTATTACTCCATGTTTGAAACACAGCAAAGCCAAAACATTGTTGGTGTGACTTAATGAGAAAAAGAATTAACAGACTCCTGCATGACTTCTCCCAGGCTGCCCTGCTGTTCCCTCTGGGATGAGAAAGGCTCACATTGATGAGGAAAACGAGTCTTCTGTTAGCTGAGCGGGGAGGACAAAATATTAATCTTCCAAAACTCATTTGTGGCATCTTTTCAAACCCTGCTTTTATACCTCTGGGTGTGGTCGTTAACTGTACATCTGTCTCAATCTTTTTTTTTTTGTTTTGTTTATCCAGTCTTGGCTTTGGTGATGCAAAGCTCCTATGGGGCAGATGCTGCTGTCCATGGGTATAATCAGGTTGTGGAACTGGAGCACTGCAAGTTGTCGGTGGGACCAGGAGGACTTGACAGAGCAGCCATGGTCTGGGCATGGACTGGTGCTCCAACCATGCCGTAGCACCCTTTCCTTTACTAAGCTGTTTTCTGGCCTCTGAATAAGGAAGCCTTCTGGATTCCTTCATTTGCATTTGCTGAATACAGCACCAAGCTGCATGTATGTGAGGGGAGACTTTTTCTGCTTATGGTGATATATAGTCACCGAGGTGAGCTCAAGCACTTTCAAAGGAGTTTTGCCCAAATACAAACACTTGCTGACCTTTCCCTCTCCTTAGGAAAGATGCTCCATAACTGAGCAGTGCTTCTTTAGTAGCTTCTTGTACATCAAGCTCCAGAGCTATGAGCAATTGTATGTATAAATGAAGTGGAAATAGGATGCTTGCAAAGCAAGGTGGGTTGAGAGAAGCCACAAATAAATAACTCCAGAGACAGAGTGATGACAAGATGAGACTTACCGTTAAGATGAAATGTCTTTGTGGTTTTGACACTTTATGGGCTAGTCTTCTATAAAACGGGTGGGTTTTTTTTTTTTTCTGGGCCTGATCCTCCAGAGGACAGTGTATTTCCACAAGTGGTTTCTTGCATAATCTTGCCCAAAACCTTGTTAGTGTGTGTGTCAGCTTTAGGTAAAGAGCTTTTATTCTTGATCAGAGTCAAACAGGAATGTTTCCTGCTCCTTGGAAACCGCTAACTTGTACGTGTCCTTGCTAGGTTTCAGAAATATTTCATGTAGTAATTGAGGACCAGATTTTGGAAGGTATTTTAGGGGTCTGAAGTAACAAGTAGTGATGCACAGTGAGTGTGTAACAGTCCCTAAGGTATGTAATTCCCTGATAAGGCAGATAAATGTCTCATCTTCTGTGGAGATGTTGAAAATGCCTCCCACCAAGTGTCTCACTGCAGCTGACGTGGTTTGAAATCAATGGAATTATGTCCCAGAACTGCTTTAGGGGCCTTTAAAAAATTCTCTCTCGGTATGTAGTTACATCTTCAGGGATTTAAACTCCTTAGAAATCTGACTTCATATTGCACTTACTGTTTTATCACTGTAGGTGAAAGCTCAGGGGTTTTGTCTCACGTAGATGACTGGAATTTCTTCTGTGTTTTTTTTTTTTTTTCCCAGCCCTTTTCTTCTCCCTGTGCATGAGAGCTGGTAACCAGAGAGCCAGATTGCACTCTCAAGCTGTACTAATATCTGACAGCCACTGGATGATGACAAAGAATGCCTTCAATCCTTGGGAGCTTAAGCTCCAGGACTTTACCACAGCTTTGAACTGTGTCAATTGTGTTAAGCCTTCGAATTGGCCAAATTTTATTTTGGTTCTCATAACTTGGCTTGTTTTTTGTTTTGTTTTGTGCTATTCCTCTCCACTTTTGTATTTAATTGGCTCTCTTGCTTCTTACCTTCTTTAGCAAAGACTTACCAACTTTATTTCAACTTTTAAATGAAACTCCTGCTTCTAAACCCTGTCTATGAAAACATAAAGAAATTCTAACACTTTTTAGCAATTCTAACCAGCCTTCTCTGCTATCTTTGCTTCTTTACCTCTGTTTCTCCTTTATGCTGCAGAAGATACTAACCTGATATCAGGCTTTGATGCTCCTGAGGGCTCTGAAAAAGTGACAGAAGATGAGTTTGACCCAATTCCAGTGTTGATATCCAAAAATTCACAAGGTAAGCCAGGATTTGGGGTGAAAAAGGGAAAGAAAAAAGGAGAAGTTCTGGGGCAGTGGTGCTGCAGCCCACGTGAAGTAGTTCGAACTGTAAACTGTAAGATATTGTCGCTGTAGTATCTAGTGAGCTTAGCCTTTTTCTGATTTACATTGGCCTTGAAATTTCTCTCGATTCTCTTTGTGAGAAGATTGCATGTCCAGAAAGGTAAGAGACATGCAATCATCTTTAGGTCCCATGAAGTCATTTCTACCAGTCTGCGAGACAGGGCACCTAAGTACTGCTGTGGCTAAAGTGCAGTGGAGAATTGTGTTCTCCTCTGCTTTTATTTACTGTTCAAGCCAATGGAAGGACATCCTTTGACTTTTAAGTGAACTTGGCATGAGGCGCAAGAGAGGAAGATGATGATAATCCATTATAACTCTGAAACTCCTGCTGAAAGTGAGGGTTTTTTCCACTTCTGCCTGATGTCTTTCAAAGGTGCTTGTGGGAACTGACTGAGAAGTTTGGTAGATGGTACCCACCTCCTTTGAAGAGCTTTGAGCAGGCAGTCCTTAGGACAGACTGGAAAGTTTGTTTTCCAGCATTCCTGTCACCTGGATCACATTAATGTGATCTTTGCAAACAGCTTCAGCCTTATGCAGGGTTAAGTATAAGAAGCAGTGCTGTTTCCTTAAAAGAAATAAAAGCACTGCATTTTGTAGCTCTTGTAGGGACAGAAGTAGGCAGTGTTTTTGCAGTGTGCTCAGTCAAATAGCTCTTCTCTCTGCAGTCACACCACTGAAAAATTTTGATTACAGTTTTCAGTATGCTAGTGTAAGTTTAAAGACATACTCCAGGGGTCCCTTTTTTTTTTCTGGTTTTTTTTTTTTTTTTTTTTTTTTTAGTTGGATTGTAAAACTTTTTTTACTTCCCTAACTCCTATTTTTGTTAGCAGGAATGTGCTATACACCTGCTCTGCATCTAATGCTAATTTGCAAAGAATGACACTCATTAGAAAAAGTTCTCAGACATTAGAAACTCTGCTCCTGCTGAAAGTCAGAGAAGATTTCTACCAAAGTTGGGCAAAGACAGGCTACCTTGAATAAAGAGGAGCATCTTTGCTTCGGTATCAAAGTACCAGTTATAGAAAGCTCAACTCCTTAAAGTAGCTGGCAACTCAAAGGTGCTTCTAAAACAGCAACTAAATTTCAAGATTTAAAACTCTGAACAGTCTTCTCTATAGGTTGTGGGAGTTCTTGTAACTGCTTTAAAAATCCTTTAGTAAGGACAGAATTCTGCAGCTTGGATGTAAACCTTGGGAAAAAGAAATGGCTTGTAAAGAATTTTTGGCTGCCGGGATGTTTTTCCATGTAAGTCTAGTGAGCTAGGTTTTTGGGGGTGGGGAGAGGGTGGAAGAGCAAGCAGGGGAATGTTGTTGCTATCATAATTCAAGTAATGAGAAGAGCTTAAGCAAATTTTCTGTTTTGCTTTGACTTTTTTCTTTCTTGCTTGCTCTTGAACATCTGAAACTGTCGTGTGTGTGTGTCCTGTTCAATACTGAATTCCTATCTCTCACACTTTCAGGTGGGCATTCTAGAAACAACAGTGGAAGCTCTGAGTCCAGTCTTCCCAACATAGCCAGGTCTTTACTGCTGGTGGATCAGCTCATAGACCTGTAGCAGTGACACAGTAGCAGACGCAGTTTCTGTAACGTACCTAATCCTCCATTTTCATTTCCAGAAGAGTTACCTTCAGTTGTGGTTCTTTTGGGCTTTTTGTTTGGTTCTGTTTTTGGTGGTTTTCTTTTTTTTTTTTTCTCCTCCTTAATTAAAAGAAAAACAAATCTGCCAACAGGAGACAGTCACCCACCTTTCTCCCTCTCTTCCCATGTCCTGGGAAAGATTGTCTCACTTCTCCAGGTAGTCCTCTCTAAAGCTGGGAAAAACCTGTTGTGGTTCCTTCTGCACCTGTCTTTAATAGCCTGTGTCTAAAGGGAGCACTGTCCTTAGCCACCCCGCTGAGATGTACACATAGCACCATGGAAAGCCTAACTGTAAATGAATTGGACAATTGTAGCTGATGTGTGATCCCTGCATACAACAGACTTCTTTCTCCTTAGAGTAGTGCGTGAACAGTTGCGTTTCAACCTTTCTGTTTGTGTTTTTGGGTTTGGTTTTTGTTTTGTTCCTGTTTCCTGATGAATGGGCAGGAAGAAAGGGACAGGTGAAACCGGTAGGGATGTCCCTCTCCTGCAGAATACAGGTTAGGAGAGCTGATGTTTCTAAATTGCCAGTAAATGCTTCAGAGGAGGAGAAAGCACCAAATACCTCTGAAGTAGTCTTGCCTCTGGTGATGGTGCATATGAAGAGAGTTTTCCGGACTGCCCCCAGCTAATGGTTTGCTGTTTAACAATACTGCTTATGAATGAACTGCGCTTCCTTGGGGGAGGGGAAAAAAAAAAAAAAAAAGAAAAAAAAAAGAGAAAAAAAAAAACAAAACCCGATTGATAAAGCTGCAAAAATGACCCTAAGTGAAATATAACAAGGTTTTGAACCAAATACATGTGAGTATGGCTGTGACTAGCATTTTGTTCACCTTTTTTGGATGAAAAGGGCATTGTGGCAGCAGCAGATGTATTTTCTGTGACTTCTTTTCTGTGTTTGACTGGAAAAAAAGAAAACCCCCCAACCTACTGTAAATTGTGTATGAAACAAATTGTCCTACGGTTGTTTGTCTATTTTTAATCCTGGTTTTAGTCAAGCATCTGGTATCTGTTCTGGGTTCCCCATTTTCTCTTGTAACTGCATATAGTGCAAACCAGTTAAGTATGGAACCATTTGTTTCAGTAGACGAAGATTACTGTGGACTTTATTCCACTCTTCAGTCTTTGTGGAACAAGCATGCACTTGATTCAGATGGTTTGAAATAAGTGCTGCTACAACTTGATGGGTTTTACCTTTTCTTTTTCCCTTCACATGCTTAGTTTGTCAACTAGCTGGATACGCTAAACTTGTTTTCATTGGCTTATGGTCATGAAGTCCGGAATTTCTATCTTGTATTTGAAAGCTCTTTCTGAACAGAAGGACTCTTCCTCTGTAGTGGAATAATTAATAGCTTACTGCTAACCTTGTGTATGTGTATGTAGCTGTATTAGTAAAAGTGCAGTTTCCCATGTGCGAAAGTATGAACGACTGATATTGTATGTACTGACCTCTCGCTAAGAAGGAAAGAAATCAAAGTTCATGACTACTCCTTCCCTATCTCCAGTCTCTCCGCTATTCCCCCACCCCAACACTTAGTTTAACAAATTCTGTAAATAGAACTACCATCGATTGTGTCTGCTCTACATTACTCTTCTTTTAAAACCTACACTTAATAATAAAAGTATTGCTTAAGTGTGTTGTATCATTACATGTGTATACTGCACTTTCCAAGAGAAGCTTTACATGAGAACTATGGAAATGACCTTAGTAAAATTGTGGATAGAACTTTATTATTTTTTTGTTTTATATTCCTAAAGCACAGGCAAGCTGGACTGGAAAACATGAAGACGCTATAGATAGAAAGTTATTGTATAGTCAGATATTGAGATTATATGAAAAGAGAATGGATTTTAAAAAGTAACCATCTACTGTATATTAGAAACAAAGATTTCTGTGAATTAAAGTACTTTTAAAGAATGTTTAAGATTTTAAATCTAATGGCACTTGTTCAAGGGTTCTGGAAAAAAATTATAAATGCACTGGGATGTTAATAATGCTATTAAATAAGCAGATGTGAATGTTTATTTTATTGCTTTTTCAAGTAGCTATTCATGGATCTGGGTGGGAAATATGATACAATGGAAGCATACATTTTTAGAGATATCAATTATCTAGACCTCCTTCATCAGAAAATACTTGCTTCTTATTTGTGGAATGAATGGAAAATGCAAGAGATAAAATGAGTGGATATTTGGGATTAATTTTAAGCTCTCCAAAAAATGTGCCTGTCCTACGGGTGTTACATTAGTGTTGGGATGCTGCCCAAAAGTTGAGGAGCTTGTGTGAAAGCCGCTGCTGTGAAGGAGCAAACTGAACTTTCATCCAGAGTCCGCAGGGGAGACGTTTGGCACCAGCATTCCCCAAATGGCGTGCGCATGTTTCTCTGCTATAGCTAGGACTGGAACCTCGTTTGAAGCCATGGGAGATGTTTCTGTCCCCTCGTAAGGGTCGTAGGGTCAGGTGTTGTTAAGTTGCATAATGCAAACCTAGAGTCAGCAAAATCACAGCAGTGTGATTCTCCTCTCTGCCTGGTATGTGCTGTTTGTTCAGGTCAGGATGACAGAGGAGCCTTTCTGCCCTAACAGGCTGGAGCTTGTAGTAGTGTTCTTGGCATTAACTATGTTGATGGATCCTCCAGATAGGATACTACAAATGCGATCACAATGCAGAAAGCAATTTCATTTTGAGCCAAGGCTGTGCTTTGGATGCCAGAATAAACTCTGGTTCTGGGGTGGCAAGATGTTCAAATGAATAGTTGGAACTTAGATGGTGGTTCTCACTTACTCTGAGGGGTCTTGGGTTTTGAACTGCCCCTGCCTTTGGAAATCTCCCCAGTTCCTCTTTTAACTGGATGAGCACAAGTGTTGCACCCACAATTCAGAGATCAGCAAATACGTACTGGATCTGACAATATCCACTCTCTTGGGAGCATCTGTCCCAAAACGAGAAGGTGCTGCTGCAGCTTCCTGATTTCTGGCTGCTCAAGTCTTCATGGGGTCCCTTGGGACTTGGACAAGCATGAAGGACTTGGCCAGGGCTGCAGGCACTCTTCAACCTGCTGGAGATGTCTGAGACATGGGTGGAAGAATCTTGGCACTGATGGCTTTGTGGCAGACCTGCATCCTCTAACAGCCCATTTACCACAAGTGAATGGCAGCTTGAGTGAATCTCGGTGTAGAGCACAATTATTTTTAGAGGGGGCTTCTTGTAAATGAATGATGATGGCATTCTTCAGCCAAAAGCTTGCAGGATATCGCCCCCAGTGGCTTTAAAAAAATTACTGCAATGAAAGTTCACATGCAATTCAGACCAAAGACAGAGTTCAGCAAGTTTTGGGGTATCCAAGCAAACATAAAACGTGGAGCATGTGGGCTTCTGACTATAGAAACCGTCATCAAGCGCAGAGCTTGCTACAGTAGCATCTAAAGCATGTGTGTGTCTGTATGGAGTAAGGTATTTTCATTTTGGCCAAACATTTTCTAGTTCAGGAACTCATGGGAATCGGTCAGAGTTGGGAAGTAGCTGGCATGGATGTGGGGGAAGTGTGACTGATGTGGAGGAGTGTGCTAATGAATGAGATTTATTGGTTAACTCCATTACCGGTACTCAGGTGAGACGAGTTCCCATGATTTCTCTTTGCTGAGAAGTGTGTGGGCACTGCACGTAGAAAAACTGCATCACTCCAGCAGGAAACACAGACTTGAGGGGCGAGGGGGGAAGTGGGGTTTTGTATTTATTTTTTTTGTTCCTGTGTAGTCTGTTTCCATAACTGAAAGATGTTGAGCTCTGGGGATTGCCGTGCCTACGTGTAGGAGCGCAGACTCCACACGCAGCATCTGATCTCATTGTTCCCTGGGAGGAAGGGTGGGTTGCCTGGCTGGGGTTGTTTTAAGGACATTCCTGATGTGTGAGACTTGTGCTCCTGTCCTGCACAGGGGAGAAGTTTAACCCCTAGAAATTCACCTTTACGTTTTTCTTAGTCACAGACTGCATCTTGAAAATGACTTGCATCTGTAACCCTTGGCTTGCATACAGTACAAATGAGAGGAAACCCAAATGATGCTGTTAGTCTCCAGTTGGTCAGTCTTGTTTGGAAACTGCTGGAATATGGTGTGTGGGGTTAGTGCGTTTAACGTGGGTCCTGTCTCACTTTGCACAGTGCAAATTGACTGTACAAGTGTGCCAAAACTAGAACATTAAATTCCTTATCTTCTGGAGCTGAAGAACCCTAGATCTGCTCCCAGATCTGCTGCTGCACAGTGACTTTGGGCAGAAATGCTTAATTCTGCTGTCTGCATTGATTAGTGACCTAGTAATTGTGATGCTGACCTTTGGTGTTCTGCTTTGTTACCTCCTCATTGAAAGCACTCTCGGGGGGTAGTTCTGTATTGTTATTTAATGATATTGCTTCTAGGAATTGCAATACAGGGAAAAAACACCATTTCAAGAATGAAGGAATAAGAAGTCTTTGACCCTTTTAAAATGTCAAACTAATAATCTTGCATACTAGTAATTGTGCTGATTTTTAGCTACCCATTCCCATATGTTGTGACCTTCCTGACTTTGGCTTGATGAAATCAGGAGAGTTATTTGGTGGAAGAGTAGCTTTAGACTCTATGAATGCTTTTGTCTCCCCTGACTTTCTTTTCTTTTTTGGGCTCTGCTCCAGAAATGAGATCATCATCTTGGTGACTCCTCTGCCTCCCTGCAGCCCCCTGTAATAGGGAGAATAAATCTTTTATAGCTTTTCTGTCAGTTATTTCACTACTTTGCCACTTCAATGCACTGTTTTCCTTAAAAGATGGGGGAACTTAATGTGTCAGTGCTGTAACTCAAGGGTAAATGGTCATCAGATTTGCTGTCTGAATACATGCAAGGTGTACTCCTGGGGTACCAAGTTTTATTACTAAGGTTCTCCCTGCACAAAGGGAGCCTGAGTATAGTTTAGGAATTGGTTATTTAGTATGTATACCCAATCCTGGAATAAATAATTATGCATGAATGTTGTACAGGGGTAGGGAGAAACCTCCTCTATAAACTCCAGCTTCTGGAAAGATTTTATGCAGTAAAGCTTACAGTTGTTAGGAGTGTGCATGCATTAAAACCTGAACATTAACTGAAAACCTGAGGGAATGCTTCCTCATGAAGTCCCGCACAGATCTCAGGAGGCCAGAGGAGGAGGGGACAAAAGAGGCAGCTGCCCATTGACGGTGTCCATCTTGGCATAGGCAGATGTGAGGAAATGCTGCCTCTGCAGAAGAGGCATCTCTTTTTGCGTGAGGGGTTGTCAGTGCTTCGCGTGTTGATTCGAGCAAACCATCTGCCTGTATCTTTTCAGGCCTCTTGCGTAGCGTGCCCTGGGTGCGAATGGGAGCCGAGTCACTGCAGAGAAGGGGCAGGGCTTCAAACAAAAAGGCACTCTCTTAGTTTCAGGAGATTTGTCCTTTACCCTCGTGCTGTTACCAGCTTGTGGAGCGATGCTTTCTCTCCTTTAGTGTAACACAGAACAAAACTGCCATGCTTTTTCATGTGAAACCATCCCTGGAGTGCCTCAGTCCTGCTGGTCTCTGATCTCAGGCCTGCCGAAGCATCCATCGGTGCTGGCTAACTTAAATTCTCTGTTGTCCTAAAAGTTACGCAGCATGAGCCTCTGAAACATTCGTCTTCAATGCCTGGAGCTATGGCTGCTTATGGGAATGCACCGACCTTGTCTCGTTAGCTCTAACCTGACCTTTACACAAAGGGGTTTGGGTTTTTTTGTTTTGATTGCACATTTTGGTGGCTAAGCATAGCTCAAACCTTTTTTAACATATGAGACTAACACCTGTGAGAGGAGATGTCTAAGCCACTGTCTAATTAGACATGCACCCAGATGTTAGCTAAAGTAAAATGCTGGCATGATGTTGTCTGGCTTGTAGTGATGCTGCCATAGCTCCTTCTGGGACTGTCCCGTTGCTTTCTGCCAAAGGAGACAAACTGAGGGAACCCAAGAAACAGGGGAAAGAAAGAGATCAGTTACTGTGGGATGGTGTCTTCCCTCTTCATCAGAAAAATAGAACATGGGAGTGTAGATGGTGCTCTTCCCACGTTAGTGAATCCCCGAAAATTCCCAGGTTATCCTCTGCATTTTACTATCACTGTGCCGTTTTTGTTGTTTCCAAGTTATCGGAGCCCTTCCCTTCTTGCTGTATTGCCTAGCAGCTTTGCCTGAAACCAGCTCCTGACTGAAGGCCGGAACAAGCTCCTAGCTAAGCATCGCTTCACTTTTATCTCCCAGAGTAATTCACAACTCCTGTTCTGGCTTTAGCAAGGGAGGAAACTGCTTCCAAGCATTCGGTGCCCTTCTTGCTTATGATGGGCAGAGAGAGAGCAAGAAAGCATTGGAGAAAGTAATTTTTCTGAAACTAGAGCATTCTGCCTATCATACAGTGCCCCAAATTCAGACACACATGCTGCTCCTGTCCTAAGCAAACGGGTTTATATCCTGTCAACCCTTCTCTTGCCCTGTCCTGGATGGCACCACTTACACAAACACCTACTAACGCAAGTGACTCTGTAAAAAGAAAATTCTGATCAAATAACTTTTGTGCTGTTCTGGTGAAAAGTGGGTCATTGGTTTGCATTGGCATAATGGTCACTGTGATAAATGCCGCCTTCCTTCCTTTGTTTTCCTGTACACTGTATTTCAGTGAGGACTGGGTAATTCAAAGGCATTTGCGTGATGTGGCAACCAGTCTTGCTCTGCTTCAGCCTGTATTCTCAAAATCTCACAATAATACCTGGTAAATATATAACCAGCCTTCTGGAAGAAAACACCACAGACGTACTGTTCCCGTAATCTGAGATTAGCATCTAAGGTTAAACTATTGCTGACAACATAAGCTTCAGGAAAGATAGATAGTATTTTTGTAGAGTAATTTACAAAATGTTCACATATCTACACTGTCTTTATTTAGCAGTGTAATGTATCTAAGTGAATAGTTTCCCAATAAACACCGATTTTGATGCCTAACGACTGACTATTGTGTCTTTAATTGTGAGAAGTGACTGAGAATGGGTTAACTCACATACATCTATGGACTTGATCAAGAAAAGGTACCTTGCGGGCTGCGATGGGTGTTTAAATGTGAATGATGAACCTGGGCAACGATGCTATTTTGTCACAGCAGGGTGGGTTGGTTGGTACCTCGCTTGTCCATCAGTCAGTGGATACCAAACCACCTTCTTGCCCTCCTCATTCTTCCTGCAATTTATGCTGCTTAGTTTTCATGTGCCTTTTTCCTATCCTTTTTGCTAACATGAGTCCAATGACACACTCCTTACCTGCCAATAGTTCTTTGAAGGTAAGATATCTTCTGTTCTGTCTGTCTGAGTTGTAAAGCAAAACCAACCCCATCCTGGGCTCTTGTAACTGGAGAAGAGCAGAACAGTAAGCCTTTCCTCGCAAGGTCTTGTTACACTAACACAGAAGCAAGCTAGATCGTTATAGTTACGTTAGATACTTGATTTGAAGTCATGGTAAGGAGTGTTTAAAATCATGTGTCTTGCAGTGGTTTAAAATAATGCTGCTGTAGTTACCAGGATTCAGTAAAAGTTAGAGGCTGACCTTCATTCTTTGAAATGTGTATGTTATTTTAACAGACTGTAGGACATCCCTGTGTATTACACGTGCCTGAGTGTAATTCCACGTATCTGTGGGATGGCTCACAGAAATAGAGGCTATGCCAAGCTATACATCTGCTTGTGGGGCAGTCAGTAAGCAACAGTGCAGAATGAAATGACTAAAACTTGTCTGTTTGCTAGAGCTTCACTCCAGGCAGCAGGGTTAGTTACAAAGTGAAAACCTCTCTGATGGTGCTCCTTGTTGTGGGTGGCCAAGGAAACCTTGTGGAATGATGTTGAGAGTGCTGTGTGTGCCCATTTTTTTGTCAAGCATCTTCCATTTCTTTCTGAAAACTGGTACTTGTGGTGTCTCCAAGCTGTGAGGCAGTGCCGAGTTGTGCGTCAGTTTGTGTGTTGTAAATACCTTCCCTGGCATTTTTATTTTCTTTTATTTGCCCTCCCGCTCCTTCCCATTTTCCATGTGTGATGGTGGTTTAAATCTGAATGGCATGACATTTGTGTAATAAGTACCTTTCATGTTTATGACTAAAGGGATGGAGCTTGTTGAGTAACACTCTTCTCTTGCACTTTTAGGTCTGCAGAGGGACCCAGCCCTATTCCCAGTTGTAGCTCTTGAACTCTGTAAAGGACCTTCTGGCAGGGATGGACTTGCTTTGTATAAGGGTCAGGCTGAGATAATGGAAGTGAAAAAGCAGCACAACTCAGAGTCAGACTACTTAACAAGAGATGGTCCTTCAAGCAACAGCTCCTTCTACAGCAGTGAAGGAGAGGGGACAGACCATGAAGGAGATATTTTGGATTGCAGCGGGTCCAGGCCTTTACTGATGGATTCGGAAGAGGAGGAGGAAACCGGCAAGTTGTGTGCAGGGTTCCTGCAGTCTGCGCCCAGGGAAAGACAAGAGGCCTCCAAAGAAGATCCCCACTCCCAGTGTTCCCAGGCTGGAGCAGGGGAGACGCTGTTCCCTGCCTTCCAGTCACACTCTGGGGAGGCTTTTAACGAACCGGATGTTTTTGCCACGGCGCCTTTCCGAAGCTCGAGAAAAGTGCCTGATGAGGTGGATGTCTTTACCAAAGCTCCTTTTATCTCCAAGGGCAATATGGCTCTTAGACATCCGGAAGAAGCAGATGTATTTCTGAGAGCCCCTTTCACTAAAAAGAAAAGCATGGAAGAGTTGACTTCCCAGAATATGTCTAAGGAACTGTTTGCACCGTCCATTTTCCTAAGTCAAGGAGGTGATGTCCAGCACAGAGCTAACCCGATGTTCCCTAGCCTGGATTCGGCAGTGTGTGGGTCTGCGGCCTCGGCGAGATCTCAGTATCCTTCTGCTGGGTTTACTCAGCCCAGCAATCATCCCGCTTCCGTGAGAGCTGTGGAAACCCAGGAAAACTTCCCCTCCAAAGGCATGCTGCAAGAGCAGGGTGGCATCGCCAGTGAGAGAAGCCAAGGAGGACACGTGCTGCCCCAGGAAGCCGTGCTGGGCTCCGTGGTTAACAAGCCTTTCCGTCCACAATCCTTGTCAAAATACTCCCGTCACTACAGTCCAGAAGACGGGCAGGGTCTCGAAGTCAAGCCCATAGCTGCTTACAAAGTGGTTTCTCAGACCAACAGACAGGCGATAGCGGGATCTGTCTCTGTTGCCCCTTTGTCTTCCAGGACTACAGAGCTGTCCAGCGGCGATCCCTTTGCTTCGGCCCCCTTCCCTTCCAAAGCAGGAAAGCAAAAGCCTTAATCTGCTGTGAGCTGGGAGGTGTGCTGCCCGTAGGACCACCTCTCACAGGACCTTGAGCCTCTTAGTTGAAATGAATGACATAGCAATATATATATATAAAAAATAATTATTATTTTTTGGTCAGAACTCTATTTGCAGTGATATATAGTTGAACCATTCTAAGTTATGTTAGTTAGTCTGAATGCCTGGCTCTCAGGATATTCATATCCTTTTCAGTTGCTTCTTACCTTCCTCCTCTCACTGTCTTCCCCCCCGTTTATTTTTTAGATGCTTTTCCAAACCAGTAATATTCCATATTTTCTGGTCCTGGCTGGGGAAATGAATTTATAAGATGAATGAAACGGTTTATTAATGACAGAGCAAGTCAAGCGGGACTTGCTAGTGCTCTGGAAAGAGATTTCACAGCTTAAAGGGTTACTGGGGTTTCTGCCCCGCCAGCGGGGGCCTGTGGAAGAGAGCGAGGTTCCACGGTCCTGCTGCTCGGCAGCGGCACCCGCGGCTCCCGAGCGACTGTCGTGCGCGATGTGCGCACCGAGCGGGTGGTGGCTGGTACCGGGTGCGAGCGGAGCCGGGCCGGGCCGGGCCGTGCCGTGCCATCGCGCGTGGGGCACTTGGCTCGCTGTGGCAGGTAACGCGGGGAAGTGCTTCTGCCCCGAGGGGCTGGCGGGAGGACGCGCGGTGCCTTGAGTCGCTTGCCTTGCAAACTCCCAGGTGCGTGAACCTCAGCGAAGCAATCTGGCAGGCTGTTGCTCTTGCTGCTGTTTGGAAAATCAAATGATCAGGCGAAGCTTTCAGTTTTACATGTGTATTTCCTGTTTGGTTTATGCCAAAGTGTAGGACCCAGCAATTTGCTTACGGTGTTGTGAAGGAGCGAGCCGTGCATTTTTACAGTATTAAAAATACGCCTTACGGAAAAAAATTATGCAAACAACTCGATAGATGTCCTGATCTACATACCTCATTTGGTGTAATTCAGCATTGGCTGCAATCTGGTTAGACTGATTTATACTGTCTATAGTATAGTGACTTTATATTTGTAAATTCTGCCTTTTGTTTTCCTGTTGATTAAGGATGAACTGAAACAAAATCCATTCACACTCCTTTGGAAATGTTTGTTTCACTTCCAAAACACCGTGCTTTCTACCATGTTCCCAAAGAGAAAGACAACTTCTTACTGTTTGTTCAGTCTTTGATGCAGTGAATCCCAACATTGTGCTTGGAGGAAAAATCGCCTGGGCTGGCAGCTGGGCAAAAACAAAGCAGACTTTACTCCCCTCTCTTTTCACTAATATAAGACAGAGAGATAAGAGTGAAAGCTCCCATCTTTATTTTGCAAAATGCCTGATTGCAGAAGTTGTCTTGGATCTGCTATTGCTGGCCTGCAAAGGCTACTTCTAAGTGTCGACTGGCTTTCAAAATACCCAGTTATAGGGGCTCTTTGGGCTCCCAGTCGCTGATGTGTCTTTGTAGTGCAGTAATCCTTCCTCCTCACAGGTGGTGTTGCTGCAGAATGTCTCCCAAGAAAAAATTGTGGTGGTTTTATTTTTAAGGACTTGACATCTGTGGAAAAAATCCCCATTGACTCTAGCAGCATCTGGCCAAATCTCTTAAAAGCCTCGTGGTGGCCATTTCCCAAGAGAGTTTGTTCATTAGCATGTGAGCTGGAGCATTGTGCTGAGGGTAAGGGCCATACTTTGCGTTTGGGGGTCTCCCATGAGTGGCTTCGAGGTCTTTGGACGTTTGGGGGGGAATTGTTGGAGCAACGGTTAGGTTGCTGAGATCAGGACCGGGCATACAGAGAGCAGGTTCCTGCTCTGCCTCCTTCCTGATGTGTTTGTGCTTGGAGAGAAAGTACTGTGAGTGCCATTGCTCAAGAGAGGGAAGGATCATTCGCAGCTCCTCCTAACTCGCTGGAATTGCACCCGGGAGAACTTCTGCGGCTGGAAATAGACTTCAGTCTAGTTTTGCGGGGGGAAAAAAACCTCACACCCCCTGCAGTACATAGCTTTTTCCAATATCCAAATAATAAGCATTAAAGGAATGCAACAGGCATATTAAAGATGCATGGGAAAGCTGTTTAAACAGAGCAGAACATCGCACAAGCCAGGTCTGACTTGCTGACTTTTAAGCCCAGCAGCGTAAGGGGAGGATGGATGGAAAACCCCTGAATGCCAGGAGCTGACTAGCAAAGCATCTGCAAGTAGTAGTTACCAACTGCTCCGCGTTTCCTTTCTCCTTCCCAAATTCCCTTCCCCTCCAAAATATCTCCGGTTGCAAGACATGAGCCAAATGTTCTGCTGGACACGCTCGGTGTGGGGGTTGCCTGGAAGGGAGAGGGAGAAGCTTGGAGTGAGGTCTGAAAGCCCTGGAGTGGGGAGGGTTGAAGGCAGGGAGGCTACGTTGGCTTGCACAGCCCAGTGGCTGGCAAATAGTGACTTGCCAAGCCCAGGTCAGGTCGTGTTGTGTGGAGCTGGAAACCTTCTGCCCTGCTCTGCTATGCTTGGAGTTAAGTACTATTGGTGCATACTTGGTGGTTTGGGGTTTTTTCTGTCCTCCGTCACCACCTCTTGAAAATGGAAGTACTGTAAAGAAATTTCTGAATTTCCCTTGAGATGTTTCTTCAGCAAAGTTGGGGCTGTTGCTTATTGTTTTTTGTTGTCGTTTTCTGTTTAAATATATACCCAAAAGGCCGCTGTTGGTTTTGTTTTACATATATACCACCCTCAAGTGGGTTGTTGCTGGATTGGATCAGTGAGAGATGCCAGGAATGACTGTGATAGCAAACTGTGAATTCAAAGGATACTTAGGAGACTGAGTGCTGAGGGCCCAGGTTCGTTTCAGCACGCAGCCTGTGTTGTGGCTGTGCACGGAGCCAGGAGGCTGAATTTGGCCTCGAGCTGTTAAATTCGCTCGGGAAGCTGCTGGAAGAGGGGTCAGGCCTTGGCAGTGCAGGGATGAATCTGTTGGACAGGGAGATGCTTTGCTGGGGCAAGCAGGTACTGTGTATAGATAAAATGTAGGTTCAAGGTATTACCTCTAACTGGATTCAGGTTCTCCTTCCTTTCCTTCATTTTTACTTGAAAAATTGCTTTTGGATAATTCTGTGAAACTTCTTTCAGTGCCGTGTCCGGGTCTCAGCTGCTGCTGGTGCAGCGTTAGCCTGTTCCCCTTCGCTTGGACTGGAGCCTCTTGCCTCTCCCATGTGTGTTTGTATCGGCGAGGTGGAGATGAGCTGCATGTAGTTCAGACCTTGCTATCCTGCCCTGCCAGCCAAGGGAGAAAGGGAAAATGCACCGAGGCACAGCGAGGTGTGGGGGCTTGCTTACAGCCCTGATTCAGGTCAGGTGAGGCTGAATTTCCAGCTAGCATTTTGGCAGCTTTTATGTTCTTCAAGCACTTTACACGAAGAGCAAGCTAACCGTGCCCCAGAAGCTAATCATCCTGCCAGCATACATCCAGTGCTTAAATGGTTTTAAATCTCTTTTCGGGGGTGGAGGCAGCTTGTTTGGATCTCTGCATGCGACCTATAAAGTAATGGGACTTTTCGTTATGGTCAGAAAACTGACCATAGTGCCTGTTAGTCTGATAACCTTCTTATTTCCAGCTGGTATTCCACCTAATCCTGCACTGCCACTGCTGCAGCTTCGGTGTGATTAATTCTAAGCGGAAATTTCATTTCCATAGTTTCTGAAGCTCTACTGTTTTTAATGAATGTGGAAGAATGATGCTAATTGTTTTATTTGCCACAGAACCGGTGATCTTAGTGAAATAAGACTGGTATGGCCTCAATGCAGCATTTTGAAGTCAGTCTTCTGAACAGAACCACTGGTTTCATCTGTTTTATTTAAAGCTGTAGTAAATTCTGTTAACTGCCCTGGGTCCTCATGCATGGCAAGAGAGCCACAGTTATGGTTGCAGCCCTGCGACAATCTTAGATTCATGCTGGGAAAGGGACTGGTTCTTACCCATTGCCAACTCTTTAATCACTCTGAAGAGAGACTTTATCAGAGTTTCTGCATGCAAAAAAAAAAAAAAAACCCAAAAACAAAAAACAAAAGGCAGTTAGCTTGGCTGTCTGTGCCTCACTGCCGTGACGTTTGTACAGTGCGTGTAACGGGACCAGCTGCCATGGGTAACCGGCGCTTTCCGCAGCCTGCTGCAGTATTTTTGGGGACTTTCCCCGTATCTCCTCTCCCTTCCAGCCAGCTCAGCACTGGTCACACGTGATGTCCAGTTTACAATCGTAGTCGCTTGATGCCAGCGCACACTCAGTCTGTAATGCACACACTGCATGGAGCACATACATGATATTAAGCTCGTAACAGCAAACCCACATAAGCAATCATGACACACAGCACCTGAAGCGTGTCTTCAGTGGGACCTAAGCAAGACTGAGCAAGATCTGCTTAATTGCTGAACTCTTAATCACTCCAAAGTGGTAATTGGTTACTTTAACTCAGCTTCCACCAAAGACTTGTGTTGAGGAGTTGAATTTTTGTGGTGTTTTTTTTTGTTTTCTGTTTTGTTTTCCTCATGGTGTTAAATCAAGGCCTTCCAGTGCACCGAAAGACTCCAAAGCATTTTTACAGTAGTATCTTGACAGTGAAATGTTGTTCCAGTTCTGCAACACATTCCTGAAACCTGATCAGCTCTGTTAGTGTTTCTAAAATTAAGCCACGGCCTGTAGTTTCCATTGTAGGTAGGGTAAATACCCTCACGCACACCTAGAAATACTGCCCTGTGAAGTTAAGAGAGACAGTGATGATCCAGTGTTCCCCGACCCCTCCAAAGGGAGAAATTCTGGCAGTGTGGGGAGGGCAGGGGCCTGTTCAGGGCCGCAGCTGGCAGAGCAGCCCCACACCCGAGTCCGGCGGTGAAAATCTCCCTTGTTTCTGCGCGGAGCTGGAAGCGTCTGTGGTCTCTGCTAACTGTGACAAACAATCTGTGACTTGTGTCCTAAGAGCAGCGTTTCGTTTGCACCACGCTCTTCTTAAGGTAATTCTTAGCGGTCTTGGAAGTACCTCTGACTTACAGATTTGATGGGAGTCAAGTTTTGCACTCTGGGTGTGATCATCTGTGTTTCTGGTAATCATTATGAAGAAATGTTTGAGTTGTAAACTTATGTACATTTTATTAAAAGTGTATCTGATTGCAATACAACTTCTCCACTGTGCATTCCTTCTCCCCTCCCTATGCAAAATATTTTTGCTGGATACAAAGGATCTGGATTTTCATGAGTTATTCCTCCCAGTGTACTGACCTCTGTCTGTCCCTACTATTTTATCTGGCAGTTGGGAAGTCAAACTGAGCTTACTGCTTTAAGCAAAGGCTTTAGGCAGTGGATGTTCCAGTTTACTGAAGAGAAACCTTCATGTCTAGGGCAATGCTACAAGACAGTGCAGAGCTATTGAGCCCACCCTGCAACCCCGGGAGCTGCTGAACAAACCCATCCCCAAAGAGGATCCACCGTACGTGAGCAAAATGGTCCGTGACCACCCGCTGCCACGCGCACCGAGGGGGGGACACGGGGGTATCCAGGAATAGGTTTTGGCACAAAGCTCAGGGAAAACGTGCTTTCTGTGAGCACAGCTGCGTGCCAAGGTACAGTGAATCCAGTGAGGAATGACGGAACTGAAGGGCTGAAAGTTTGTTTGAAGAACTTCGCTGGATTTTTAGGTTGTATTAGTTAATTGGAAGAGAATAAGCAGCTACGCTCGGCGTAACGTAAGTGACTTTCTGGTTCAAAATCGGCAGGACTATAATCATCCTCAGGTGGGGGCAGGCAGCAGTGGCCCAGGCCTCAACTGGAACCACTTCATCTTGCTGAAATTGCAAATGCATCCCCTTCCTCCCCCTGTTCCTTGTGCAACACCTCTGAATGGTGGCAGCAGCTGCCATCTGCAAAATCGAGAGCTTCCACCTCAAATATATTTTGATCAAAACAAACACCTCTAACTTTTGTTCTGCAGCTCCCATCTCTGGCAGGTTATTGGGCTAAATTTGAAATTTCTTGATGGCTTGTGAGACTTTGCGGGGTGAGGGAGGCTTTTTGTATGTTACTGAGCTCCGAGGTGAAACCTGGTCTGGAGGGGGGGGGGGGCCTGTTCTGAAGCTCCCACTGTGGTAACTCCTGCTGCTCCTTCCAGGGCCCAGCAAAGCGATGCCAGCAGCTGGGACACTGACCGTAAGGCCTCATTGCCCTGGAATGAGCTGCGAGGGTAAGCAGAACGGAGCTATTTAAGGAAAATAAATAAATAAATAAAGCGTTACCTTTGGTTGGGGGTGGTGCTTTGGTTTTAGAGGCGGGGGGAAATATTTCTCTGTATTTTTAGCAAACGTGCCGGCTGTAGGAAATGGGGTCTGTGAGGGGAGGGGCGCGTGTCGCGCCGTTCCCGCCGGTCCGTTCCCGCCCGCCGCCGCCAGGGGCCGCCGCCGCGCCTCCGCCGGGGCGGGAAGGCCCCGCCCCGTTCCCGCCCGGCGGCCCTGAGGAGCGCCAAGATGGCGGCTGCGCGGTGGCTCGGCGCGGCGGCGGGGTTGGGCGGCCGGTAGGTGACCGCCGGGCTCCCCTCGCTGCCGCGGCCCGGAGGAGGGAGCCCGGCTTTTTCCCGGAGGGGCTCCCTCTCGCCCTTGCCCTGCCTTGCTCTGTCCCTTTCCTCCCCCGCTGCAGCAGGCTGAACGAGGGTGAAGTTATTTCTTCCTGCTCCTCGTAGCAGGCGGGCAGCGAGAGGCCGTTCCTTCCCTCAGCCCCGTTAGAACAGCGAGGCGTTGATTCCCCTCACGCAGGTGCTGAGAGCCTTCCCCTGAAGGGGCTGTTCACCCCCCCGCCGCGCACAGAGGCGTGAGTAACGGGGGGCGGAATTTCCCCCACATGTGCTCAGGACCGTGCAACAGGGAGTAATTCCTTTTTCCCTTCTCTCCCCGCCCTGTGCGCAGGATCACTGAGGGGCAGTCAATCCCCACATAGGTATCTTTAGGGTAAATTCCACCCCACCCTTCCGCCCCCAGCTGCTAAAGACTCCGCAATAGCGGCAAATAATTCAGAGGATGGTGTCACGATGGGCACATCTCCCACCTTGTGCTGTGGGCTATAAAATGGACTGTATTCCCTAAAGGGAGAAAGGAGAACTGTCAGGAAACCCTCCTCACACATCCTGTTGTGGTCTGCGTACCTTCTATCAAGACCACAAAATAAGCAAATAACATGATTTAGGCGTTTTCTGTGTTCATGTCTCACTCACAGCGGCAAGGTCCGTTTAATGAGAGGAGTGAACTTTTCTCCTGTTTGAGGAATCTGGGCCTAGTTGTAGTGCGTGTTTGCCCATATATGACCCCTGAGAGAGTCAGCCTCCCCTCTTACTAACAGCCCTTGCAGGTGTAGTTTATGTAGTTTACCTGCTCCTTCCTCTCTGTATCTGATGAGGAGGAGAGAAAACAGGTAATAATGAATCCTCTGTATGTAATGTTTATCTGTGACCTGGGGTGGGTTTTGGTTAAAATTTCTGATTTTCACTTTGCTCTGAAATACCTGGATGCTGTTGGCTGTGCATACAGTTACAGAAATCAGTTGTGCAAGCAAGTATTTATATTTTTGGAAGTTAGGCCTGTTACTCCATCACTCTGCCTTGCTTTTTCTCTTTAATTTTTTTTTCTTTTTTTTTTTTTTTTTTCCTTCTGCTCTCCCCCTTTTAACTTTGTCTGAGCAGATGACACCACTCCTATTTTGACTGCTAGTGCGAGTTATGTGGCCAGTATGGAGCAGGGCCTCTTTTTAACTGGTCTGGTTTCGTTCTGGAACAATACTTGTATGGGAATATACTCAATTTGTTCCCCCAAGGGAATAAGTACATAGAGGTGGATGGGGGCAGAGGTATGGCTTGGTATGTGGAGCTAGTAGAGTTTTTATCTTTTATCCAAATGTTGTCCTGGTATGTTTTTTCTTACGAGAACTGCTTGTGTAAGAGTAGTTATTGCATTACCCTTTTAGCCTGCCTTGTGTCTTCTAAGAGTCATATAGAAGAGCCTTGTGTTAGGCCAGCTATACCCACAGAATATAGGAGTAAATTCTGGCCTTGATTTAGCCTCAGGTGCTTGGGGTTGGATTCATCTCAGCTGCCTGTAATCTTTTGAAAAATAGGTATTTAGTCCAAGCTAGATTTCCAGGTGCACTGTCAAAATGAAGACAAAAGGCTCCCTTAGGGTGATTTATCCTCTTCTGTTATAGGTAAGTATGGTGATTTGCCTGTCTTTAGTGACTGTATAGGAGTGTAGGTTAATTTTTTAGGTGGCTAAAATTGGAGAAAAGGGGGAAAAAGTAAGGGACATTTTGTGATCTAACCTGTGAGCTCGCTACATTACCTGAGAGGTTTAAGGCAGGTGAGTGTCTTGCTGTGTTCTGGGGTTGCTAGAAACATGTGAAATATTCTTTCTGTGGGGTAGTGCAAACTTGTAATTTGGAAATTGTTAGTGAAATTATTTTTCTCTAGGTTCTGTCGTGCGATGTTAAAAGATCATAATTTGAGAACTCAACAGTCTTTCCACCAACTTGCACAAAAGAAACCATTTATTCCATCTGCAGTATGGTATAAAGCAGGTAAATACTAGTTAAAAATTACTAGATGAGTGCATTGTGAGTTTTTATGCCTTGTGGAAATAATGAAAGAGTACTGTTCTTTCTGAAATCTGAGTGTGATAACGTTTCCTAGGTGGCTTTTGATGAAGTGCTAGTGCATTTGGACATTGGGGAGATGATGTGGATGGCTCACTGTGTGCTTGATTATACATGTTTTTTCTATATCATGAAGCTGCCAAGACTTACAGGGGGCTTTGTTAGTGCAAAATTTTATTTGGGCTTTGCTGTACTTCTTAATTTAATTTCTATCTCCCTGTAAATGTATCCCTTGTGAAAGACTTTGTGTTGCTTTCTGTCCTGCTTCAACTGCTGAGCTCTGCCAGATAAAATTGCTGCCCATTGGGACAGAACCTAGCAAAGATGAAAGTGAAGCTTTTCATTCTTAGAGCTGCAGTTTTTTTCTTATTTTAATTTTCCCCCTCTTGAACATGCATCCATGTATGGTGCATTAATGGCATTCTCCATTAATATTATTTGCGACTTGGTATTACCCTGAAAAACCAATATTTAAGATTGAGTTTGAATCTACCTTTTTTTTTTTTGGTAGCCTGTAATGCTCAGAAAATAAAAAAATCTGTGAAACTTGCATTGCAGAAAACGTTTTGCTTTTGCACCTGCCTGAGGGATTTAGCAACTGCTCTCCAATTCTGTAGCAGAAAGAGTCTAAGGCAAAAAAATTGTGCAGGTGCTGCTGTATGGAATTAGTCACAAATAGAAATCGTATTTAAATGAATCTGCTCAGGCAGAAGCTTCTTTTTAATTCTGATTTCAGGTAAGTTCAATGTTACTTCGTCCAGCACTATTTTTTCTATTTCAATTCTAATCAACAGGCAGACTGATGATTAGACTTTGTGTTTTACCTGCTTCTGCAAGCATTCTACTAAAGTTGGCTTCTATTTGGTGTCTTCCTGTTACCTTGAGCAGATGGCAGAACAGAAAAATAAGCAGGTATACATGGGCTGAAAGAAATGATATAGGTGTTTAATGTTAATACAGCCAGTTAGCAACTGCCAAATAATAATTTCCGAATGAGTTATTCACAGCTGTGCAAAGAACTCTCTGGGTTGATTAACAATTGAAAAACCTGGTCATAGGAAGGCAAATCTTCAACTGCAGAAGGCCCTTTTAGAATACAGAGGCTACCCACATGGACTCCTTTTCTGAGAGTTGATAGAGCCGGTTGTGCTAGAGATGCTGGAAGAACAATGTATGGTAGCTGTTAGTGACTCCCTGCTTTCAAAAAAATGGGCAGTGTGTACTCCATTTACACCATCCAAATCCCCTGTTGTTGGTTGTTTGTACGTTATGCTGTTACACTGGGTGTGATTTTTGGATGCTGGCTGGATCTGGAAGGTTAGTTCTTCCATCCCCATGGATGGAGCTGACTAGCTGCTTGTTCTATCAGAATTATTATTTTCGTGTTAAAAGTACTTCTGAAGTCTTTTTTCATCTAAAATAAATTAAAAAAAAAAAAAAAAGAGAAAACATAGCATGTGCATACTTTGCCGTTGTGTATGTTCAAGTCAAATGGGTTGTTACCATGACGGACACATGCAGTAACAATTTGGCAATTTATAAATAGTATGATTTGTCATCTAATGCTACGAAGTCATGGGCAAGATGGCAGTTTACAAAAATTAAAATGTCAGCCCTTTTTGCTGCTTTAAATCCCTCTATTGGATATTTTTTGAAGTTATGTGCGATTGTTTTTCAAGTATAATTTACTTACAGATATTAGTTCCTGGAGATTTTTGTTTCTAAAACGTATTTTTTCTTTTCTGAGTCTTTGTATATCTTGTTATTTGTTGTGCAGGGAGAATTAGAAAGAAGAACTAGAGAATTAGAACACAGGAAACTGTCCCTAACTGATGCTCAGCTTCAGTGGGACATCAGGCATATGCTGCGTGGACGTGTCTACAGGAAAATGCACTATTAAATGTGCACCATTAAGCGTAGAGTAGTAAATTGTAGTCAAGATCAGTTTTCTTTACACTCTTCCAGTGAAAGAAAGATCCACACTGCTAAAGGAACTTCAGTAAAAAAATATTTTTTAAACATCCTTACCAGTGAATTGTTTGGCCAGTTCAGTTTCTGGAGGATAAGTGATTGCTTACAGTAATTTTTCACTCTGTGGAAAATATTGTAAGCAGAATGTGGTTCATTGCAACTGTTGTTACACTTGTTTTTTTTTTTTATAGTCCTGAAAAATGAATCAGAGAATCCCAGGTTGGAAGCGACCTCAAGGACCATCCAGTCCAACCTTTCTTGGCACAAGCCCGGTCTAGACAAGCTGGCCCAGCACCCTGTCCAGCTGAATTTTAAAAGTGTCCAATGTTGGGGAATCCACCACTGCCCTGGGGAGATTATTCCAGTGGCTGATTGTTCTCATTGTGAAATATTTTCCTCTTGTGTCTCGTTGGAATCTCCCCAGGATAACTTGTACCTATTACCCCTTGCCTTCTCCGTGGGACTCCTTGTAAAAAGGGAGCCTCCATCTCTGTTGCAGCCACCCTTTAAATACTGGAACGTGGTGGTAAGGTTTCCCTGGAGCCTTCTCTTTTCCAGGCTGAACAAACCCAATTTGCTCAGCCTTCCCTCACATGGCAGGCTGCCCAGTCTGTGAAATAAAAACCAAACCCCGTAAATCATGTGTATCTTCAAGAGAGGGTTAGTAAAACGAACTGCTTTGAACAGGAAGTGATAATGCTGAAAGAGGGACTAAACAGCATTTGAGGATCGTAAAATAAAAAAACCTAAACACAGTAGAGAGAGGAAGGTTGCATTTCTTGGCCTTCCGTAAAAAGTGAGGGTGATACTGGCCTCATGCAGTTCGATGCTGTTGCAGTAGGATGCTTTTTAGTAAATAAAAGTTAGCAAAGGAAGCAAAGACAAGGTTGCATTTATCATCTTGTTCCCTGTGAGATAACATGCCTGTGTTTATCAGTCTTTGTGTCAGTCTGGAGGCTTCCATGGGACCCGTTGCATTGTGTTTTTAAAGTACCATTGCTGCACAGGCTGCTGTTTGCTGTAGCACAGAGATCACCCTGGTCTTGGCTTGCTAAGTAATCAGGATCTTTGACTTTATGACTTTCATTTAAGCTACTTATGTTTGATTACATTATTGTTCTTTCTTTTTTTTTTTTTTTTTTTTTTTTTTTTTTTTTTTTAATTTCCAGTAAGAGGCATGTTTATTCAAACTCAGGACACACCAAATCCAAATAGTCTGAAGTTTATTCCAGGCAAGGAAGTGCTGGAGTCGAGGACTATGGAGTTTTCCACACCCGCTGCAGCATTTTGCTCACCTTTAGCAAGGTATTATTAAACACATCATCATTTGTTTGGGGGACCAGTATGGGCTGTGTGTCTACACCTGATGTTTTTAAGCACAGCTCCTCTGATTGTTCTGCTGCTCCTTATACTCAGGAGAAGCTTGGTTAGATTTAAGTTTTTAATGCCGCTTTACTTGTACGTGTAATTAAAGCTGGGAAAGTTGTCGTTACTAAAGTAGTCTTTCTGTGTGTCTGTACTCCCCACAGCTGTATTGTAGCAGAATGCATCATGGTCTAGTTTATGCAACTGGCTTGAATGGTATTATAAATCGGTATTCTTGAACAGTTGCTGCATCACTGGTGAGACCTTTGGCTCTGATTTTGCAAAATCTTTCCCATCAGAACACTCTTAATTCAAGTAGTTATCTGGAAATCATGCAACTTTGCAGAATTGGGAAATAAATGGCATGAGGAAGTAAACAGTCCTCAAATACTACAAATTAAATATAGTAACTTGCTTGTTTTGGCAGCAGATGTTGGTGCTAACCTGAACTTCAAAGCCAATGTATTTTTCCTTCACAAAAGGTTTATAATGTTTTGGTCAAAAGAAAGCCAGTTTTGGCTCACTCTTTCAGGCTGGATCTATAACAGGTGTTGGGAGTTGCAGCTTTCAATACCAAAATGCATAGTCTGGAGTAAGAATCACTGAGCAGATAAATGATTCATGTCATCCTGGTATAGGAGGGATTTGGAGCACCATCACAAGCCTCTCTGGGAAGCTTTGGAAGTGTCCTTTTTTTCATGTTTGTCATTGCTTTGACATTAACCTCTGAAAAGAAACTTTATTTGTTATGTGAGTGGAAGGACTTCAATCCAGGGTGAGATCCAGAAATGCAATAGGTTCCCCCCGGAGATCCCAGTTTAAGTCATCTTTGTGTATGTTGGAAGAATTACATGCAGAAACAGAAGCTGTTTCATGTGACATTCTCTCCAGGAACTGTAAGGTTATCAAACAAGCATCTCTGACGTTTCCAAAGGTCTCTTGCAGAGTTGTTTGAGAGCAAACAGGATCTTTACAGGCAAAGCTCCGTGACTTAAAGTAATAAATACAATATGAAGGGTTTTTGTGGACGTAAAAATGTATTAGCAGAGTGCTGAAGCTGTAGGATCTGATGATGCCGAAGTGCATCAGGTTGCAGAATGTGATTGACTCTCAGAAAGTGGCTTTTTGTTGTCATATATCTGCAAATAGACATTTTCATCAAAGAAGATGTAAGCGCTAGAATGTGTAGTATGGTAAAACAGCTTGATTATGCATATTGTGAAGAGTAATGGGAAAAAATTGTCTACTATATATCATTAAATCTGGAAAACTCATTTATTTTGAAAGGGCATATTCATTTTCCAAAGAAGTAGTGAAAGCTTCCTGAAAGGGTTGGAGGGGAAAGAATGATTTAATTATTCTAGGATGGTTTGGTGCACTTGCATAATTTCATTAAGTAACTTCAAAATCCCTTTGGTTTAGTGATATAAAAGCCCAGTACAATATAACTGTTTCATGTGTGGAAGTTCTTTCAAATGGATATTGTGAAAGCTCTTCTGTCTTTTTTTCATCACACATACCTTTGTGATAAGATTTCCAATTCCTTCATACATTGCATTTTTGTTTTCCAGTCTTTCAGGCGATTTTTTTTTTTTTCCCCTTAATTATACAACCACTTTTAGAGCCTTGTATTTAACTCTGAGTGCTACCTACTTTTAATGATTTCTCCCCCATACTCTTCAGGAATAGCATAATTTATTTATTCTGTAGATTAATTTGTTGGGTTTTAATTAACCATTTATGGAAATTTGTCTTTACATTCTAATTCCACTTTTTGTACTTAAGTATTGTCAGAAATATGCCCTTTCCCATCACCTAAGTTCTTGTGTTGCTTTGGATCTGTGCTAATTTACCACCTGGTTGTGTGCTGTATGTGCCATCTTAAGCAATTTAGTATGAATCCTGAACCTTTACTAGTTCTTCACATTTTTCATGTGCTATACAAATGACTAAAAATATTGAAGATTGCTCACAAAGCGAGTTGGTGTGTTGAAGCCTTGTGGACTACTTGGCACTAATCGTTTTATTTAGTGGCAACAGAATTGAAGGCAGTTTTTATTGAGCTCAATTACTTTAAATAACTTGGTTTTAATCTAAGGAATGTTCCTTGCATTTGCACTAGTCCCACCTGAAACAATAGGTACCTGCTGGTTTTGATGCTGAAGAAATACCTTTTTATATACAGAATATAATTTTGCCTCTAAAGAAGAACTGGAGAGAAGCTCTTCCACGCATCTTGTGGAAAAGTCCTGTAAGATGTGTTCAGTTTTGCTATGTACACTGCTTCACAGCAGGATCTGGCTCTTACTAAACTGTAGGTGAAGTAGCTCCGAGTTTCTCTTAATGGTTCTGGTTTTAACGCTTATTTTTGTCTAGAAGTGTATTCTAGAACTGCGTTTTTGTGGCAAATTAAGTAAATCTTCAGGAGTTTGCCCGAAATGTGTGTGCATTTTTGTTTTGTTTTGTGTTTGTTTTTTTTCCCTAACAGACAGTTATTCAAAATTGAAGGAGTTAAAAGTGTTTTCTTTGGACCGGACTTCATCACGATCACCAAGGTGAGCAGAACAGAGATTCAAATGTACTAAAAGATGAGCTGGGATTCAGCCGTCTAATAGATGGGCCAGAGAAGAGCCAGTCAGACCCTTGGACACACATAGTGAAAGTACCAGAGGCGGTCGTCACAGGTGGCATAAAGGAAAGTGCCTTGAATAGACAAGAAAAAAAAAAAAATCACAGTGTATGGATAAGCACTGGAATAGGTTTCCCAGCGAAGTTGTAGATTCTTTGATCTTGGAAATGGTCAACATTGGGCTGGATGAGCCCCTGTGCGACATGGCGAGCTTGGAAGCTGGCTCTGCCAGGAGCAGGATGCGGCACCAGGTGATCTCCCGAGATCGAGATCGCTTCCCGATGGATGAGGGGGCTGTGTGGCCGGGGTGGAGCGCGCCAGCCGCCGGCCGCCTTGTGTTTACCCAAGGCGTAGGGCTGATGTCAGCAGAGATAAGTGTTGCATAGTAACTGTGCAGTTACACTCTTACCGTGTGAAGAGCACAGGGCAATTCAGTGAATGATAATTGGGCTCAAAATTAAACGGAATGAAACAATCTTGAGTCTCTGAGAGAGTTTGGTAAAAATATGTGTCAAATAATATATTTAGGAAAATTTATTTTTCACCTCTTTTTAGCTAATATTTTAGTAGCGCTTGGCTTGCAAACAAGGAAACCTTTCTGTTGACTATTATAAATTGACTCTTACTGAACTTTTCTGGCAAAGCTGGGCTTGACAAAACTATGAAATCAAACCCATGCATCCAACATGAGAGCCTCTTATGATATTTTTAATGTAAAAAGAATCTCTGTGTAACTTATTAAGAGGCAGATATTCCAGGTTTTTTTTTGTTTGTTTGTTTTTTGTTTTTTTTTTCTGATTCTCCTAGGAGAGTGAAGACCTGGATTGGAACTTACTGAAACCAGATATTTATGCAACTATAATGGATTTCTATGCCTCTGGCTTACCTGTAGTTACTGATGAGGCACCTAGGACAGATACAGGTAAACCAAACTCTTCAGGAAGAGGCCTTTGGATTTAGTTCTTTTGGCATACAGGAGAGTCTCCACTTGTCTCTCAGAAAAGCATGCAAGAGAGTTGGAAGTGAAAACTGCCAAATTGAACACAGGAGAGAATTTTCAGAGTGTGTATGTTCTAGTGGAAGCAATGCTGTGCTGTCTAAAGGAGTTGCTTACCCATGAATATTAAAGCCTGGTTCTCATCTGTAGTATGAGGAGTGTATCTTCACAGGAGCTGTGCTGAACTGTGTGTCTTGGCAGTGTGGACCGTGTTCTCTTACACTTTGTGTGTGTGAAATATTTTTGCAAGTACTGAGGCTGTGTTTAGAAGGCTGTAGGCTGTTGCTGCATATCCTTTTTGTATGGGCACCTACGAAGGATTTTATTTCCCTCCTTAAATCAAAAAAGAGTGCCCAGGCTTAATGTTCATGTCTTAGTGATAGGTTTATGGTCTTAAATGAACAAGAAATAGTAAGAAGTCTTTTCCAAACCATAATAGAAAGTTACTAACTTACAATTTAACTCAAGGGCAGTATTTTGCCTGTTGTTTTCTCATTTGCAATTTACAGACTTAAGCCATTTTTCCAGTGTTTCAAGGAAGATTATGACTATTGAATTCCTCTCTGCTCTGTTAATGTCTGGATTTAATTTCAATATTAACATAGACTTTATTTATTTGAAAAAGTTGTCTTTGAAAATGCTTCTGTGAGGTTAACATTGAGCTTAAAATTGCATCCAGAGCTGCTAAACCCAGACACATTCATAATTCTCCTGCTGAATTTCTTAGGGTGCTAAAACTTGCTTTCTGAGGACCCTGCTTTAACCCATACATCCTTATTGAATGTTAGTTGTTGCTTCCTTTAAAAGGTGGCACTGTTATTGTCTGTTAAGGCCTTTTCCAGTTGAGAAGAACTCTGAACGAATACTGTTTTTTGTTAGTGAAAGTCTGGGACGTAAATAAGGATAATGCAGGAAATCTGACTCTGAATTAAGACTTCTGTCTTTTGGTTTCAGTCATCTCAGCATGTTTTTATGCTGTTTCATTCTGCCATTAATGATAGATGGTGTTAATAATCATACTGGAATTCTCTCCAAGTTCTGATTTGCACGTTCTTCCTTTCCCAAGCTGCATCAGAGGAAGATGATGAAGTTGTACTGATGATTAAAGAACTGCTGGATACAAGAATAAGGTAAACTGGAAACATTACTGCTAGATGGAGTGAGTTAGTCTTGGGGCTTGGATTTATTTAGGAAACAGTGCATTTGTCTTTGGTTATGTGTGATTCCATGGTTCAGTATCTAGTGTGGGGGTTTAAAGCGTGAAACTGGCCGGAGTTGGGAATGCTGTTTTCTCTAATTGAAAACTTTCTCTCTGGTTTTCCTGTTTAAGCAAGCTATGTGCTGAACAGAGTCCTTATTGCTGAGCGACTTCAGAATGGTGTATAGTCTTACTCTCCGTAATGCATTTAAACAAGTCCATGGGTTTAACCTGGCTATTTTCAAACAGTGATCCAACACAGTTTTTGCTTTTCCAGTAACTTTTTCTCATCTGTTGTATTAATCTCTATCTTAACTGTACTTGTCCTTCCCTTCCAAGTCCTCCAAAGTAGTTTATATGCCTGTGTCATACTCGAAAATGTACTGGTGGGTTTCCCTCGCTGTCTGGGCTTCAGTGGATTTTGGCTTTGCATTCTGTTGCGATTTTATTGGTATTTTAACACAGCTTGAATTTAGAAACCGGTGGTAACTAATGAAGTCTCAAGGGTGGCTTATGGATCATGTTGTTTACCTGAAGTATATTTTTATGCTCATTAATTGCCTTCCAAAGTGCACTTAAAGAAGTAAGCAGCTTATATTTTAGATGCAGGGGAAAATGTCTTACGTGTTTCTGAAGCTGTGATATCTGATGGCGACATCTTCCCCAGCTCACAAATTACAGGAATGAGAAACTCATATGTGGGTTGAAGTTGTGGAATTCAGTTGAATTTTTCCAGAAGTTATGACGAACTTGGGCTTTTTAATCTAATTTTTTTTTTTAGATGCTGCATTTTAAAAAATACTGTTTTGGTTATCTCACAGCTGACACACGGTACTGGTTAATTTTCCTGAAAGGAAAGAGGGAGAAAAGCAGAAATAAACTGGAACGTTTTTCCCAAGCATATGTGCTAAGTGTTGAAAATGTGTAACCCAAGTGTAGTGTTGTATAAAGCCATGACAGAAAGTAACATTCAGGAGGGCCTGCTCTTGCTGGGTATGTGGTCATTTAAGCTCCCTCTGGTATGTTAATCCTTGATTTCTCAGTGGCCTTTCGTAGTAGTAGTCACAGAATTTCTGCCCAAATTTCTGGTTTCACCCACCCTTTCTTTCATTTCCTTCCCCCTGTATTCCTCAGTGGACCAAGAAGCTGTTGATGAGAGTATTAGCAGCAGTGTATCTTGCTTCATTTTAAAGCAGGATAGTTTACAGAAGCTATATATAAACCAGTGGTACATACAGAGCATTTATTGTTCAGTTGATCAAAAATATGTGCAAAGAAGTTGTCAGAAGATGCAGGATGGAGGGAATGTAGATCTGAAATGTCCTGTAGTGTGTTAAAACAAGTTAATTTCAAATAAGAAAAATGGAATTTTTAGTCATGCTCTTTGGCTTTCTGGAATGGAGATAATTTGCTATGGTGACTTGTTAATAAATGTGTCAGATTCATAGATTATTCTCTTAGGAGTGTAGTTCTCAAAGAGTTATTTTGGAAATCAGTATAAAGAGCTTCTGTTAGAGTAACTTGATGGTTTTAGCTTGGTCTGGAAAAATGTTGCTATGGGGATACAGTTACAATGCTGGGCATTTGTTGCTTGCAAAAGGAGACCAGGCTGCAGAAATGCTAATAGTACAGGGATGTGATCTTACCAGATGCTGGTTTCTTCACCCATTAGCAGGATTAAGCTTTTAGAGTTGGAGCTTTTCTCTGTCCTGTGTAAACTATATTGAGCTGCATATTTATTTATGGAAGCACTTAGGGACTTCTTATCACTGTCCCTTGTCAGGTAACAGATGCACATGCATGGTATGGTAGGGCCCACGCCCATTATATTTGGCACATAACAGAGGCAATCATTGTTCCCTGTGGAGAGGGCCTCAGAACAAACCAGGATGTCTTTGCAGGCTGAATCAAGCTTTAAGGTGCTTACCCTCACCCCGAGAATTTGAAGGATTCCTTCATATGCTGCTGCATTCATTGCAAATACGTTTTGCTTAACATCCTACAGGAAAACAGTAGCTGTTAATGTGGGAGAGTGCAGCAAAGTATGAGTTGTTGGAAATTTGAACCAGGTGGTTGTAGAGAAAAAAGGCTTTAGTTGCTATATCTTGACAGGTCTCTGTGTGTATTAAATCTAGCTTTACTAAAGATTTCTGGAAAGCAACATATTTCAGCTATATTTGTTTTAAATTGAGTATTGTGTTCCATCAGGCCGACAGTGCAAGAAGATGGTGGTGATGTTATTTATAAAGGCTTTGAGGATGGGATTGTGCAGCTGAAGTTGCAGGGCTCGTGCACCAGCTGTCCCAGTTCCATCATCACCCTGAAGAACGGGATACAGAACATGCTCCAGTTCTACATCCCTGAAGTAGAAGGTGTGGAACAGGTGGGTTGGTGAGAGATAACAGTTGTTTTCTTTTAAATGGAAAAGAAGGTCTTTGTCCCTTTCCAGCGTGGAGAAGTTGGCAATTTAAGCAAAAGTACAGGATGTATAGACGCATTTTTTTCCACATCAGAAGCTATACAGAAACAAAAGATACAGAACTCTGCAAAGTCCTGTACAACCCCATGCACCACAATACACTGGGGACTCCCTGACTGGAAACCAGCCTTGGAGAAAGGGACCCGGGGTCCTGGTGTGGATGCCAAGTTGAACTTGAGCCAGCAGTGTGCCTTTATGGCAAAAGTGGCTGATGATACCCCGGGCTGCGTGAAGGGGAGTTTTGCCAGCAGGCTGAGGGAGGTGAGCCCTCGCTGGACTCTCTCCAGCATGTCCATGTCCCTCTTCTGCTGAGGAGCCCAGAACTGGATGCTCTGTGTTCACCAGTGATTGTTACCTTTGTGCTTTGATGACTTTATGTGACAATAAGGGACAAGCTTTTTTTCCCCTAAAATGCAGATTCTTTTGCGTTCTCATTAAAACATGTGATATGCTGTAGTGGTTGTTCTGGTTGCCTTTGTAATAACTTGACCAGTTCCTATGATGTCAGCCACGTTTCCTCCTGGCATTTTTGATTGCAAGCTTTTCTCACCTTCTTCATGTGACCATTGTCATTCAGTGGTGTGGAATAACGGCTGTTCTCCTTGGGTCCAGCAAGGATTTAATGTAATGAGTTCTCTATGCAATCCTACGGGACTGAGAATTTAAACTATTTACCTAAGCTACTTCTGGATTTGATTTCAGGTTGTTGACGATGATGATGACATGGAGAAAGAAGCAAATTCTACTTGAGCTAGCGTTGCCTGTGGCCAATAAGTATTTACCTCTTCGTGTACGTAAACTATCTTTGTGCTGAGGAGCAACCAAATTTGCCTTTCTTTTCAGAAAAAAATAGTTGTACTTATTTCTGTGAAAATGTATCATCAGTTTAAGCAGTTTGTCCGCTAATATATTAAATGCCCTGCAAAAAAGAATTCTTTTGCTCTACTTTGTACTGTGTCTTAAGAAACAAAGGGTAGGCTTTAATAATGGTGCTGCATCTTTCCATTGTTCTTTCTTACAAAAAATTCAAGACTGAAAAAAAAAAGAAGGCAGAAGTAAAGTTTCTTGATTGTTTTTCATGCAATAGAAATATTAAATGTTTATTGTCCCAAACTTCCTTATGGGGCTTGAAAGACTATCTGCCCTTGCTCTAAACTGGGAGCTTCAGGAATGGTAACTTTATCAATTCCTGTTAAAAAGCTTTTGATTCATATGAATTTTTTGTGTGAAAAGTAACCCATAACTTCAACTGTTCATTTTGATTGCTATCACTTATAGAAAGTTACCTACTTGCTACTACTACTGTGCAAACAATAGCAGCAGAAACAAAAACTCTGAGGAGTTACAAAAATCATGTCTTTTAAAACAAATCTTAGAAGATGATGATCCTTATCAGCTTTAGTAAGTAGAGAGACTGACTAGTATATTTAGAAGTAAAATTGTTCAGCCACCATTAGCGGTCTGTTTAAACTTGCAAAATATGATTTCTCAACATAATGCTCCAACATCAAGACGAACGAGCGGTGCTTAAGGGCACAAATTACATTTGTAGGGTAGCAAAGAAAATGAATGTGTTTACTTATGCCATATCCTGTTTGTTCCTTCTGCAGAAGTAACGTGGCTGCCCTGGCTGAGCAAGGGAAGACGTGGCAGAGCAGAACACGTTCCACTTTTAGAGACTATGGGAAGAGAAATATTTATTGTTCTGAAATTGAAATACGTAAATCAGGTTTTGCAAGTACTTCTGTTTACTTGTGCGTGTAGGACTTAATTTCTTCCTGGTGCCTAGCTTTAGCAGATGGCTGTGCTAACGGAAATGCTATTCCTTCTTTGTATTGCCACAATCGAGCTGAGTTTGCGGTCATTATTTGGCGTATGGTTACAGTCGTATTCCCTGCATGCAAGGACTCGACAGCCTCTGGTACATTCCCCTCTTTCACTTCTTGCCAGTGTAATTCCACTGAGTCCCTTAACAGGATCAATTAAGTCAGCGGAGAATCTTTTATATAGTATGCAGCTCAGCATATGATCACCATAAACTTCATGTTACTTGTTAGAAATCTAAAAATAAGTATTGTAGCAAAATATTTCTTTGGCTTTCATGGAGAGTAATAACTTACAGTCATTTAAATTGCCCACTCAGGACTTGGAAATTGGTTTGAAATTACCATGTTTTCTTTACCCTGTTATGAAGTTCGCAGTGCCTGATCTTACAAGTGTATTGATGACAAAATTCCCCTCGAGGTAGGCTCAGACTATCCAAAAGAGAGCTTGTGCAAACATTATCGCCATGTCCTCCTTTGTCAGCAAACCATAGAATGGCGAGTAATGTTTCTGGCTTCTCAAAATTAGAGCTTTTTAGGCCTAATTTTTCAATTTAATGCACTGTACAAGCCAAAACTTAAACAGCAAAATAGCTGTTTTGTGTGTTAAATAAAATGTATCTCTCAAAAATGTGGTCTTTATTCTTCAATTAAGCAATACCAATCTCTTCCAGGTACAGTAGGGATTCAGTTCTGCCGCTGTCTTTGTATTTCCAGTCTTGTTTTTAATGGGGTTTTGATTTGTACAAATAGGACCAAGTTAAATCTGCATGTACTGAGGCTGAAGATTAAGCATCTTGTGGTCTTGAGACTGAAGAGATTCCATGTCCAGTATGTATCCTGTGTGTCCTCAATTGCCACCAGCTCTGTCATGGAGAGAGGAGTGCATAACACTTGCATCCCACCCTATTTTATCTTTTCTGTCTTACAAAGTAAGCTCGCTCAGGCAGTGGTTGCATTTCTACAGCATAAAAGCAATGGGGGGCTCTCCAAGTCTGGATAAACGAAAGCAGAGGGAGGTGGTTAAGTGCCAGTTCTCACTTGGGGAACAAAACAAAACCCGGCTGTATTCTCAGCATTAACAACAATCTAATACTGTGGTGGCCCAATGTTGTAAAATCGTCAGCCCAAATCATTGGGAGTTCCTGTGTGAACCTTCCAGCTTCATCCATGGAAAGAATCCCTGTTAGTGAGAGGTGTCCTGTCTCCACTTGCCCAAAAAACCTGGCACGTTCAGGGGCGCCAAAGCGAACAGGTCAGTGTAGTGATGGCTGTTCAACATTTAGCCTGGGAGTTAACGAGGTGGCTGGTGTCCTCTGCAGCAGTGTGGTGTGTAATGTGAGGTCTTGCAGCCCTTGTTCTGAAGAGGGCTCTTCAGGTCGGGGGCTGGGGAGCTCTGCTGTGCTGTAACTCTCAGGTCAGCAAGGTTTGAAGTTTTTCTATAAATTGCAGTTAGTCATTTAAAATAATGACAAGCGTTTTAAATTATTCTGGTATTTTTTAAAGAACAAAAGTACTTTAGTATTTTTGGTGTGCCATAGTGAAGTGCAAAATTACAGTCTGCCATTCAGCCATTTTTTGCTTGACCCATGTCAGAGGGAGAAAACAAAATCCATTCCTGCTTCCTAAGCACTGATCTAGCACTCTCTTTCACAGGCAAAGTTGATTACAGCTCTCTCAACTCCTGTCATCTTGAAACTGTTCACAAGTGGATGTGTGCTTTTTGTCAGGATGTGACTTGTTCCATGCTTCTAGGAGAAGTTAGCCAGTTGGTCTGCAAGGCGGTCTTCGGATAACGCTGTAGCGTGCAGCGAGCGGCAATCGACAGCCATGGCCTTAGCTGACAGCCTTCTTGGAGCAGGTACTTCCAGCATAGCAACAGGAGGAAATAGCTGATGTTACCAGATATTAATATTCCAGATGTGTTCTATCAGGTATCACAAAACATAACTTTTTCCAGGAGGTGATAATTTGCAGTCTAAAATTCAGGACTTTAGCCAGAACTTCTATTTCAAGTGAAGTTGAGTGTAGAGCAGATGGAAGCAGGTATTTTTTTTTTTTCCCCAAGCGTGACCCCTTTCTGTTAATTTTATGAAAGGCTCACCTGTGAGAGACGGTTTGGGACACTTGACATTTCTCCATTTGGTAGCACGTCTACATCCAAGTGAACTATATATGGCAGTAAAGCCTTGTACTGTATGTACAGCAAACCTCAGAGTAAAGTAACAAGTTACACAGGGGATCAATGTTGGCTTTTATGGGGAAAAAAATTAAACAGCCACTTCAAGACTAAACACATGGAGCTAAATTTTTGTATGTGTACGATTCTGAGGAATTTGCACCAGATTAGTACATACGGATGCATGAGTTTGCTTCAGCTTGAGGGATGCATTTTTATAACATCAAGTATGGTACAGGTTTAAGTTGTAAAGTCTGGCATTTGCTGTGCTGCTGACATGAACTACGTATTTTGGGAGCATTTGTAAGGCCTGTTTGCTCCTTCAGGCTTGGGGCATCCCTCGCTATAAGCAGGGTCGTATCCTTGCAATTTGTCTTCAGGCAGTGCTATAGATTATTTTAGGTTTGTAGTGAATACCTTAAGAATTTCCAGAAGCGCTAAGAAGTCACGAACCGGGAGCTGCTGCAGGGCAGCCAAGAAACCCCCAGTGTAGAAATAAAGCAGCAGATGAATCGAGTGTGCCTAGTAGATCAGTAACAGAGAGTTTGAACACTGGCCAAAGCAGGGAGAGAGATATTTCTGTGCCAGCATACGCTGTGTGTGTTTCTGGTGATCACTCTTCTGATTTGCACTATTACAGCGGGTTAGTAGTTCCCTTCTCATCGGGGACATCAACTTCCGCTGCCACAAGGCATTCAGCTTCCTAATTAAAGATGTGGAAGTGGAAAAAAGCAGTTTGAAGTCAGCCCTCCTCCACCTTCACAAGTGGCAGAGGGGAAATAAAGCACCGAGCGGCTCAGGTGCTCTACGCAAGCCAGCCCTAGGGACTGGGACTGACTGCGGATTGTTCCCATCATGTCCTTGATGCTGAACTAAAGCAGAGGTGCTGGATACCAGGTTTTAATGCTCCTTAGATCAGTGACCCTCCTGCTGTTTGTGTTCACTTCTAGCAGCAAGTTTAAAATCTACCCTGTCCTGGTTTGGGTTTTTTTGTGTTGTTTTTTTTTTTTTTTTTTTTTTTTTTTTTATGTACACTAAGGCCATTGGTTGTTTTATGGGCTCTTTAAGGAAACCTTTATTGACTTTCCAGTGTCAAGACAAGTGAAGTTAATTTTTCTTAAGCAGGGGTTGCTATCTTTTTGTAGTCTTAGGCTTTTAGGAAGTTACTCAAACAGTATTTGGGGGTGGTAGTTCCCTGTCAACAGCGTAACTAGGCTGTCCAGCTGTGTGACCAAGCACACCGCTCCTTTGTCAGCCCTGCCCGGCCCTGTTTGCTTTGCAGATTCGTCTTAATGGTTCCTGTATCTTGCTCCTGAAAGGTGCTATTATAGGGCGGTGACAGTCGGAAAGGAGAAGGCAGGCCACGGGAGGATGCGCGCCGTGCCGGGTGGGGGGGGATGGACACGGGACTCCTTCACCACCGCAGCCCGGAGGGGCCCGCGGGGTGTTGGCGGGTGGTCGCTCAGCCCCCGCCGCAGACTGGGGTGGGGAGTGTGGGGGGGGTGTTGCCTCGCCCCCCGGTTTGTGCCGCTGACAGGGTCTGCGAGAGGAGCTGGAAAGCTGCCCGGGGGGGGGTGGGAACGGAACGGCCCGTGCCCCGGGCCGGAGCCTTTGTCCGCGGCCCCGCCGGCTGCCACGTCCCGGGGGCGGGGCGGGGCGGAGCGGCGCCCAATGGCGGGGCGGGCGGCGCGCCTGCGCTCTCGGCCCCCGCCGCGGGGGGCGGGCGGCGCGGCCCCGGCGCGCAGAGCCAGCGCGGCCGCGGAGAAGGGCGAACCATGTGCGGTAAGGGCAGGGCAGGGCGGCGCGGAGCGCGGATCCCGCGGTGGAGGGACCGGGCGGCGGGGGATGGAACCCACACCCCCCCCGTCCCTCCCCAGCTCGGCCCTCGCTCCCGGCGGCGGCGCTAGGCCGGCCGGTGCCGGGCCGAAGGCGTGCAGCCCGGCCCCCGGGGCACCCCCGGCGATTTGGGCAGAAAAAAAAAAAAGGGGCCGGTCGCTTCTGCTTTACCTCGGTTACAGCGAGAAGGGGCCTCGCCTCCGTTATCCGAAAATGTCACCGTCTTGCCCGCCGTCCGTGTACGCTTCTCGGGGGGGGAGGCGGCTCGCAGCGTAGTAATGACTTGAAAGGGCAAATTCTCCCGAAATTGTACGCAAATGCGGGCAGAGCCTACAAAAGGCCAGCGCCCTCGGTCTGCGTGAGACGCGACAATACTAAAAATACGCGGTTTGCTCGGTGCAGGAGCCTTCAGGGCGCTCGATGCTGGGGATGGTGACACTCCGGCGCTGCGGTGGGCGGATTGTGAGGTTGTAGTTTTCAAAAGCAAAGAAGTGACTTAGGAACCGAATCCCCCGTGAATGTCAGTAACGTGTACGCGAGAGGAAAGGGATACAGGTTTCACCGGTAGCATTTCTAAACGTGGATCTGGCCGTATCTGAATAACCACTCCCACTTCTCGGTGAAAAGTGTTGTTTATTATTGGTTTTCTAGGCATTACAACTTCTGGTGTGGATACGCAGCCGTTGCTTCAAATTTACTCAATGTAGGTTGTGAGGCAGACAGGTAAATTGGTTTACAGGGGGCTTAGAAGTGTCGGTTGCAGGGTTGTGCCCCAGCTCACCTCGGTCTGCTCGTACCGGCTCCCTGGGCTGAGCACATCCCTGAAGTGAACTGGAGCGCCCGGCCCGCCAGCCGCCTTCTCCACACTCGCTTGGTACCTTCCCCTCCCCTTTACTGTAGTAGTACAATTACTCTACCTCATCTTTTGGACACAGGAATATAATTTATCCTTTTTCTTCCTCTTTCTATCGCATTGCCTTCATGTTTTTCCGTGGAAATTTATGCAGCAGTGATCTGTTGGCTCTTCTTATTTGTCTTTCCACGTTTTCTTATTTTTTTTTCTCCGTATTTTTATGTGCAAAATTCAAATGTCGCCTTAAGCAAGATTATGGTTTTTATAATTAATGTGCACGTTGCCATTTCTTTCATTGTTTTTGTGAAATTGAACCGGTATCGCCTTCAAACTGTCAAGTCTGTGGAGCGCTGTGAAGAGGCAATCAGAAATTCATGCTTCAGCTTGCTTTTAACACTATGTTAATTTGTGTTGAAAGTACAAAGTGGAGCAAAGCTAAGAATAGAAGGTATAATAATTATTATTATAAATAGCTTGCTGCAAGAATAGGGATGGTTTTGGTGCCTTGTGCTTGCCTTACTTCAGGCCTCACCTTTGAAATGTGCAATATTAACATTCTGCTCTTTGTTTTTTTAACTGTCACAAGCCCTGATAAATGCCGCTGGTAGTTACTTAGCTGCTGTCAATATTTAATGCTTTTCTCCCCTTTTTGATACAGGCAAAGTTCTTGGATATTGAAACATTCCATGAAACTGCAAGAAAATCACTAAGGATTATTGGGTCTGTTGTTGAGTCTCTTCTGGGAGCCAGAGGTATATCTTGT